GCAGTGAATGGTTCGTAAGAGGAGTTAGATTCTACACTGGACAATAGAGGGTAGCAGGGAATGGTTCGTAAGAGGAGTTAGATTCTACACTGGACAATAGCGAGTAGCAGAGAATGGTTCGTAAGAGAAGTTAGATTCTACACTGGACAATAGAGGGTAGCAGAGAATGGTTCGTAAGAGAAGTTAGATTCTACACTGGACAATAGAGAGTAGCAGTGAAGGTTCGTAAGCGAAGTTAGATTCTACACTGGACAATAGAGGGTAGCAGTGAATGGTTCGTAAGAGAAGTTAGATTCTACACTGGACAATAGAGAGTAGCAGTGAATGGTTCGTAAGAGAAGTTAGATTCTACACTGGACAATAGCGGGTAGCAGTGAATGGTTCGTAAGAGAAGTTAGATTCTACACTGGACAATAGCGGGTAGCAGTGAATGGTTCGTAAGAGAAGTTAGATTCTACACTGGACAATAGCGAGTAGCAGAGAATGGTTCGTAAGAGAAGTTAGATTCTACACTGGACAATAGAGGGTAGCAGAGAATGGTTCGTAAGAGAAGTTAGATTCTACACTGGACAATAGAGGGTAGCAGTGAATAGTTCGTAAGAGAAGTTAGATTCTACACTAGACAATAGAGGGTAGCAGTAAATGGTTCGTAAGAGAAGTTAGATTCTACACTGGACAATAGAGGGTAGCGGGGAATGGTTCGTAAGAGAAGTTAGATTCTACACTGGACAATAGCGGGTAGTAGGGAATGGTTCGTAAGAGAAGTTAGATTCTACACTGGACAATAGAGAGTAGCAGTGAATGGTTCGTAAGAGAAGTTAGATTCTACACTGGACAATAGAGAGTAGCAGTGAATGGTTCGTAAGAGAAGTTAGATTCTACACTGGACAATAGAGGGTAGCGGGGAATGGTTCGTAAGAGAAGTTAGATTCTACACTGGACAATAGCGGGTAGTAGGGAATGGTTCGTAAGAGAAGTTAGATTCTACACTGGACAATAGAGAGTAGCAGTGAATGGTTCGTAAGAGAAGTTAGATTCTACACTGGACAATAGAGGGTAGCGGGGAATGGTTCGTAAGAGAAGTTAGATTCTACACTGGACAATAGCGGGTAGTAGGGAATGGTTCGTAAGAGAAGTTAGATTCTACACTGGACAATAGAGGGTAGCGGGGAATGGTTCGTAAGCGAAGTTAGATTCTACACTGGACAATAGAGGGTAGCAGAGAATGGTTCGTAAGGGAAGTTAGATTCTACACTGGACAATAGAGGGTAGCGGGGAATGGTTCGTAAGAGAAGTTAGATTCTACACTGGACATTAGATGGTAGCAGTGAATGGTTCGTAAGAGAAGTTAGATTCTACACTGGACATTAGATGGTAGCAGTGAATGGTTCGTAAGAGAAGTTAGATTCTACACTGGACATTAGATGGTAGCAGTGAATGGTTCGTAAGAGAAGTTAGATTCTACACTGGACAATAGAGAGTAGCAGTGAATGGTTCGTAAGAGAAGTTAGATTCTACACTGGACAATAGAGAGTAGCAGTGAATGGTTCGTAAGAGAAGTTAGATTCTACACTGGACAATAGAGGGTAGCAGTGAATGGTTCGTAAGAGAAGTTAGATTCTACACTGGACAATAGAGAGTAGCAGTGAATGGTTCGTAAGAGAAGTTAGATTCTACACTGGACAATAGAGGGTAGCGGGGAATGGTTCGAAAGAGAAGTTAGATTCTACACTGGACAATAGCGGGTAGTAGGGAATGGTTCGTAAGGGAAGTTAGATTCTACACTGGACAATAGAGAGTAGCAGTGAATGGTTCGTAAGAGAAGTTAGATTCTACACTGGACAATAGAGAGTAGCAGTGAATGGTTCGTAAGCGAAGTTAGATTCTACACTGGACAATAGAGAGTAGCAGTGAATGGTTCGTAAGAGAAGTTAGATTCTACACTGGACAATAGAGGGTAGCGGGGAATGGTTCGAAAGAGAAGTTAGATTCTACACTGGACAATAGCGGGTAGTAGGGAATGGTTCGTAAGAGAAGTTAGATTCTACACTGGACAATAGAGAGTAGCAGTGAATGGTTCGTAAGAGAAGTTAGATTCTACACTGGACAATAGAGGGTAGCAGTGAATGGTTCGTAAGAGGAGTTAGATTCTACACTGGACATTAGAGGGTAGTAGTGAATGGTTCGTAAGAGAAGTTAGATTCTACACTGGACAATAGAGGGTAGCGGGGAATGGTTCGTAAGAGAAGTTAGATTCTACACTGGACAATAGCGGGTAGTAGGGAATGGTTCGTAAGAGGAGTTAGATTCTACACTGGACATTAGAGGGTAGTAGGGAATGGTTCGTAAGAGAAGTTAGATTCTACACTTGACAATAGAGGGTAGTGGGGAATGGTTCGTAAGAGAAGTTAGATTCTACACTGGACAATAGAGGGTAGCGGGGAATGGTTCGAAAGAGAAGTTAGATTCTACACTGGACAATAGCGGGTAGTAGGGAATGGTTCGTAAGGGAAGTTAGATTCTACACTGGACAATAGAGAGTAGCAGTGAATGGTTCGTAAGAGAAGTTAGATTCTACACTGGACAATAGAGAGTAGCAGTGAATGGTTCGTAAGCGAAGTTAGATTCTACACTGGACAATAGAGAGTAGCAGTGAATGGTTCGTAAGAGAAGTTAGATTCTACACTGGACAATAGAGGGTAGCGGGGAATGGTTCGAAAGAGAAGTTAGATTCTACACTGGACAATAGCGGGTAGTAGGGAATGGTTCGTAAGAGAAGTTAGATTCTACACTGGACAATAGAGAGTAGCAGTGAATGGTTCGTAAGAGAAGTTAGATTCTACACTGGACAATAGAGGGTAGCAGTGAATGGTTCGTAAGAGGAGTTAGATTCTACACTGGACATTAGAGGGTAGTAGTGAATGGTTCGTAAGAGAAGTTAGATTCTACACTGGACAATAGAGGGTAGCGGGGAATGGTTCGTAAGAGAAGTTAGATTCTACACTGGACAATAGCGGGTAGTAGGGAATGGTTCGTAAGAGGAGTTAGATTCTACACTGGACATTAGAGGGTAGTAGGGAATGGTTCGTAAGAGAAGTTAGATTCTACACTTGACAATAGAGGGTAGTGGGGAATGGTTCGTAAGAGAAGTTAGATTCTACACTGGACAATAGCGGGTAGTAGGGAATGGTTCGTAAGAGGAGTTAGATTCTACACTGGACATTAGAGGGTAGTAGGGAATGGTTCGTAAGAGAAGTTAGATTCTACACTGGACAATAGAGGGTAGCAGTGAATGGTTCGTAAGAGGAGTTAGATTCTACACGGGACAATAGAGGGTAGTAGGGAATGGTTCGTAAGAGAAGTTAGATTCTACACTGGACAATAGAGAGTAGCAGTGAATGGTTTGTAAGAGAAGTTAGATTCTACACTGGACATTAGAGGGTAGCAGTGAATGGTTCGTAAGAGGAGTTAGATTCTACACTGGACATTAGAGGGTAGTAGGGAATGGTTCGTAAGAGAAGTTAGATTCTACACTGGACATTAGATGGTAGCAGTGAATGGTTCGACAGACAAGTTAGATTCTACACGGGACAATAGAGGGAAGCAGTGAATGGTTCGTAAGAGGAGTTAGATTCTACACTGGACATTAGAGGGTAGTAGGGAATGATTCGTAAGAGAAGTTAGATTCTACACTGGACATTAGAGGGTAGTAGGGAATGGTTCGTAAGAGGAGTTAGATTCTACACTGGACATTAGAGGGTAGTAGGGAATGGTTCGTAAGAGAAGTTAGATTCTACACTGGACAATAGAGGGTAGCAGTGAATGGTTCGTAAGAGAAGTTAGATTCTACACTGGACAATAGCGGGTAGTAGGGAATGGTTCGTAAGAGAAGTTAGATTCTACACTGGACAATAGAGAGTAGCAGTGAATGGTTCGTAAGAGAAGTTAGATTCTACACTGGACAATAGAGGGTAGCAGTGAATGGTTCGTAAGTGGAGTTAGATTCTACACTGGACATTAGAGGGTAGTAGGGAATGGTTCGTAAGAGAAGTTAGATTCTACGCTGGACAATAGAGGGTAGCTGGGAATGGTTCGTAAGAGAAGTTAGATTCTACACTGGACAATAGAGGGTAGCAGGGAATGGTTCGTAAGAGAAGTTAGATTCTACACTGGACAATAGAGGGTAGCAGTGAATGGTTCGACAGACAAGTTAGATTCTACACTGGACAATAGAGGGTAGCAGGGAATGGTTCGTAAGAGAAGTTAGATTCTACACTGGACAATAGAGGGTAGCAGTGAATGGTTCGTAAGAGGAGTTAGATTCTACACTGGACAATAGAGGGTAGTAGGGAATGGTTCGTAAGAGAAGTTAGATTCTACACGGGACAATAGAGGGTAGTAGGGAATGGTTCGTAAGAGAAGTTAGATTCTACACGGGACAATAGAGGGTAGCAGTGAATGGTTCGTAAGAGAAGTTAGATTCTACACTGGACAACAGAGAGTAGCAGTGAATGGTTCGTAAGAGAAGTTAGATTCTACACTGGACAATAGAGGGTAGCGGGGAATGGTTCGTAAGAGAAGTTAGATTCTACACTGGACAATAGAGGGTAGCGGGGAATGGTTCGTAAGAGAAGTTAGATTCTACACTGGACAACAGAGAGTAGCAGTGAATGGTTCGTAAGAGAAGTTAGATTCTACACTGGACAATAGAGGGTAGCGGGGAATGGTTCGTAAGAGAAGTTAGATTCTACACTGGACAATAGAGGGTAGCGGGGAATGGTTCGTAAGAGAAGTTAGATTCTACACTGGACAACAGAGAGTAGCAGTGAATGGTTCGTAAGAGAAGTTAGATTCTACACTGGACAATAGAGGGTAGCGGGGAATGGTTCGTAAGAGAAGTTAGATTCTACACTGTATATTGGAGGATGGTGGGTTGGTTGCGAGTGACTTTGTTGTTGTTATTTACAAGGGTATATAGATATAAGAATGGGTCAGCATACCGAGATAGTGCATGTGGTTGGTGCCGCCTGAGATGAAGATAGATCCAGTGAGGGCGGCGTTGGTACACGTGGAGGAACAACGAGAGGTGAAGGTCGTTGCCTCCTTTCCAGGAGGAATCTCCAGATACGTCTGTCCCACACTGAGCACGGCGCCGTTGTTGGGTCGGAGTTGAGTGGTATAGTAGACTACCATACCCGATGCATCAAACCAGCCTGACCTCTCTGACGGATTATTCCAGTGGAACTGACAAGACAAATAGTGTTAAGAAAGACCCGGATTATCCATCGGGATATGTACGGTGTTTCAGGCGAAGGAGCATGTGAATGTTGACGCAATATTCAAGTTATGCCACATTGACGTTTTCCGACCGTTTATCACCGACATACCGACATACCCCTAAAATCTGCCCGATAAAAACAAGCATGCTACACGTTACATACTGAATCCAGTTCCGGTTCTGCTACCGCATTTTTAGAGTTATTTTCAATTCCGAACTCACCTATTCGTGTGAAAAAACAGGAATATTTCAATGTGGCCTCATATCACGGCGAGGTATTTCTTTGAAAATAGTTGGAGACTGTGCTCTCATGGCATATTAAAAGTGGCAATTTGTGTTGCCATGGTGATCTACAACTTACTGAAAATCAGATAAGGACGGAAACACTGAAAATGCATATTCGATTTTTTTGTAATACTAGTATTTGGCAAACTGGCCAGAAAAACACAATTTATGTTGTTCTGTGTATTTAAGCATGATGTAATCAAACACAATAAAGTCGTCGTTCGGGTTCGAATCTCATTCCATGTGTTTCAAAAAGGACTTTAACACATACACCATGTTTGATGCTTGAAACATGATTATGCGTTTCCATTGTGTGTCAGTATATTTTATCCATAAGACATCTGTAGAAGATTATCTCTTAACTGAAGCCACGATCATTAAAACTAACCTCTAGAGCAAATCTGCTGTATCGGGATTTGCCAAATAAAAGCCCGAACCTTTCATCTAGGCAGTCTCCAGCTTCTCCAAGAGTCCATGCGCCAATCATCGTAGTGCAGGAATTAGCAGCATTCATTCCGCACTGATATGGTGCCGTCGGAAGGGGGGCTGGCGGTCAAACAGAAATAATAAACCTTTTCTTGTTTCAATCAAATTCGTGGCCCATTTTAAAATATATTTACATGACGTTGAAGTAACAGGAAACCAAAATACCCCAGATACCAAATTTATGTACCCACATTAAACTTTAAAGGTAGGCAAACAAGGGGAATTGTAATGACTTGAACCACAACCGCAGTTATTATAGGGCTGGTTGGTTGGTTGGTTGTTTTACGCCGCACTGGGGGGGGGGGGGGGGTGGTAACGTGTATTCTTAACACAACTGGGTGGGATTGGGCAAAGAGTATATTGGTTATCGTCTTTCATTTTAAAATAAAATAAACTATACGTCAACTATTTTCAGTTGAGGTTGTTTGGAGATGTTCGTGTCAAAGAGGTTTATCCTTCATTGAACGTTTCAACTGCTCCCTTATGAGGTTTCAAGCTTCATCTCACCGTCGGAGTCGTCGCAGCCATATATCAAGATGTGATGCATGACGTTGTCGTTGTCAATGTACGGCTTGTAGCCGATGAGGTGGTGGTCGACGTCGCTGGGCATGTCAAACACCATGCACATGTAGGTCGTTTCCTTGGCCGGGACGGCGGTGCGGGGAAACTGCAGCGTGACGTTCAGGGTGTCTGTAACACGACATGTAATCACATGTATAACGATATTATACCACAGAAGTCTAAACACATAACACGCATGGAGTCTGATTTATTCTGGTTACACAGAGCGCCAGTAGACAGTGATGTCAATCACTGGTCCAGATTCGATAATTTACAGACGTCATATAGCTGAAATATTGCTGAGTGCGGCGTAAAACAACAGACAAACCTTTACAATACAGCAATGATACATTAGTGCCCAGTGACGACGTCAAAAGGGAGAAATGAAGTATATCTTCGAGGATAATAGAACTTTTATCCTTTTATTTTCCCGGATACCATGTCCTTTCCCGTCCGGTAAATAAGTTCAATATTGTCTTTGTCAGACATGGGTTTTTCGCATCCACAAGATGACATAAAGCTGAAATTTACCACAAAAATTCACAAATATCATCGAGTGTTACTATATCTACATTCTGTGATAATCGTTGGTGTGAGTTAGATTGGCATAGAAGGACGCGCTTTCACTATAAATAGCCGTTCAGTCGGAAAACCCATATCATGTCGTGTATAGAATAACCCACTTACAACTCGTTGCAATGATCGGTTCCTCTTTGTTATAATGTACTTACAAAAATAATTATCAGATATCTCGTTATTCCTCGAAGCACGTAGGTTATTCTCTAAGAAAACCATCGCCCCAGCGGTATGTGTAATTGGCGTGGGTTTGGCACACAAGTTCGACCTATACTTCACCCTGTCCATTTCAAGTTCAAAAGGGAGATCACCATTTCCACTGAACAACTGGCTTTGGCGAACATGGATCAACTGTATTATACATACATGTCTCTGATGTTCACCGCGTTGGTGAACCAAGGAGCACGGATATGGTCCTGACGGAACAAGACACATACTCTTGGCGATTCTAGGATTGTATCAAACTATCAGCGGATCCTGGTACAACTAAGGGACGAAAACTGATTTGTGCCAGAACTATAGATGAATGGCAACGGGTTCTTTGAACATATTTAACCTGAATTCCAGCAGGATCTTATACTTCAGAGTCAACACATATTCCCAAGAGAACATCATCAAGTCTGCGACTGTACCTGGGTTTTCTAGCGCCGGACATTCTAACACCGCACCAGTACAGTCCACCCAGTCGTTCTTGCCTTGACAACCTGCAGACCCAAACGGGGTACACACGCCTAGACAAAAGATAAAACATATAAATATTTCATTCATAAACTCAGGTTGGAGAACCTCTTGTGTTGAGTAAACTGTTTCGTGAACTAATCAACTGATTTCATTTAACTATTTTACCCGTGAAGATCCGGGTTAAAATTCTTCAGCGACCCCTGTTTGTCGTAAGAGGCGACTTACGGGATCAGGTGATCAGGCTCGCTGACTCAACTGCGTAAATCGATGCTTGTGATGTCAGTCATTTGATCGTCTGGACTCGATTATTTACAGACCGCCGTCATATAGCTGGAGTGCGGCGTTAAACAACAGACAAACATTTTACTATTTCAATGTTTATTACCAAAACGCCACAGCCGGCGAAACTACAGCTATATGACGACGGCCGTAAACAATCGAATCTGGAATCGACAAACCAGTGTCCGGGGGTCACTATCAGTGAAATCACTTGACCATCTGATCCCCACTGGACATTGAGAATGGTTGAGTATGGTCATGTTATGTAGTTAGGGCATTTTGAAGTCTACTTGTCTTACCTGGGTGTGTGATGTCTGTGGTCCTGTTGGGCAGCGTCCTGGGGGTCCACTCACAGTCCGGGTCCCCCAGCTCCACCCCGTTACTCACACCGTCCTCGTCTGAGTCAAGCCGGCACAGCTCTGGCGTCCACTGCAACACAGGACACGATCGATTGATCCGAAACAAGGCTCTGCGAAATATTAGCTCAAACGGGGAAAGAAATTGCTGAAAACTTTCATCAGGCTTCTGGAGTTACTGATTCGAAGATTAGAAATGGTCTTCATGCCGCCCATCTCCATGTTCGATGGTCACGTGTTGTGCGGCCCCTTACAAATCGCCATGTTGCCAACAGACATCAATTGGGTAATCGTCGCTGGTCACGTGTCACGTTTTCGGACGAGTCCCGATTCACTTTACACTTCCTTGATTGACGTGGTCGTGTGTGGCAACGTCGAAATGAACGTCAAGCTAATGTCAACCTGAGACCTCATGACAGACGGGTCGGTTAAAGTGTGGGGTGGCATCATTATGACCGCACTCCACATTGTGCAAAGAAGGGTCACTGGACAGTACTATCGGGACAACATACCGACACCCTTTGTTGTCCCGTTTGAATGGCGTGTCAGGCGACGTTTTGTCTTTCAGGACAACACCCCTGTTCACTGTGTACGAATCGTCAATTCTCACCTACATCAGCACAACATTCACAGAATGACATGGTCAGCAATGAGCCCAGACCTTCCCCCCACACGTTTGGGGGCATGATACGGAGACGTGCTCGTCAACGTCATACGTCGCGGACCATGTAGGCTGAACTTGGTCTGGCGCTGCAAGAGGAGTGGGTCAGACTCCCTCAAATCGCCATTGGAAGACTCATAAGGGGGTGAGTGAGTGAGTGAATATGGTTTTACGCCGCTTTTAACAATATTCCAGCAATATCACGGCGGGGGACACCAGAAATGGGCTTCACACATTGTACCCATGTCGGGAATCGAACCCGGATCTTCGGCGTGACGAGCGAACGCTTTAACCACTAGGCTACCCGACCGCCCCTAGACTCATAAGGAATATGCAGTAAGCAGTATGCCTCATCGAGTGAATGAATGTTTGACAAATCGTGGCGGTATTATGCACTACTGATCCAAAGACGTCAACTTTGAAATTTCCGTTCATACCCCTGTCGTCTTTCAAGATCGTAGGCGGTCATAACATCAACAGTTATACTTCACTACCAGTTGTAATATGTTCCAAATCATCATTATCATCATACAACTATTACTAGAAACCAACAATTCTTACAATTTTGGACATTTTAAGTTACTTTCGAGTATCTCCTACTTTTTGAAGAGACCCGTGAAGATCCGGGGTAGAATAGGTCTTCAGAAACCATGCTTGCCGTAAAAGGCAACTATCCTTGTCGTAAGAGGCGACTAACAGGATCGGGTGGTCAGGCTCGCTCGTACTTTCAGCACCTAAGACTTGGTTTGATTCCCACCTACACTTTGTAAGGCCTATTCTAGGTGCCATAGAGTATAGTATAATTCTCATGCTGTCACAAGCACGCAACGTAAACATTTTGACAGCGCTGTATGTGAGACTGCCACTCCACGCGGGGTTTAGGGTCTATTTAGAGGGTGTTCGGAACGCAGAGGGGGTGGTACGCGGGACGCGCATAAAATGTATTTTGTAAGCAGATTCATCATTTAAAAACATAATAACTGTTTTCGCAATAAAATCCGGACATAATATATTTTTTCAATTTCTTTGCAGTAATTCAACTTTAAATAGCAGGGGGCCCGTGTGGCCCAGTCGTCTAAGGCGCCGAGATTCGCTGTGCAGTGTCGCGTCCCTTGGGCACGCCAGAAACCTATGATGGTGGGTTCGAATCCCGGTTCGCCCCGATTATGTTTCTGGGTTTGTCAGCACCATACCCGTCATCATGGGTTTCACCGAAGTGGTAAACCTCTAAAAACCCGCATCACTTCGGGCTTTCCTCCCACATTAAGCTGACACGCCGTGATATAACTGGAATACTGTTAAAAGCGGCGTTAAACCCAACTCACTCACTTTACATAGCACCCTTTTCTCAATGCCTTTAAGGTTTGTGTTAAGTAGTATTTTAGATTCAGCAATGAAAAATTAGATGATATTCGAGATTCAGGGGGTGGGGTACCCTCATATGTCGAGTGCCCACGCTACAAATATCCAGTGCGCTTGCTACAAATAGTGCGATTTGAACAAGTAAACAACATCTTTTACCTGGTGATTATTTGCAGCAAAGTCCAGCCCAAAACTGTTTCTCGGTCCTCCACCCTTGACGTTCTTGTGTCCCACCCCCTTCCAGATGAAGTTGGGTTTACAGGGGTGTCCGACGCGTTCTCCGTTAGGCAGGCGGGTGCGGTAGTGACCGTACCCATCGACACCCCACACAGCGAGCAGCGACCAAAGGGAGATAACTAGATGACACCTGATACAAACAACAGCGTTTTTCTGAAGCTGCGTATAACACCAAACTCACTCACGTACAAAATATTTAAGACCCGTGAAGATCCGGGGTGGAATAAGTCTTCAGCAACCCATGCTTGCCGTAAAAGGCGACTACGCTTGTCGTAAGAGGAGACTAACGGGACCGGGTGGTCAGGCTCGCTGACCTGGTTGATACATGTCATCGTATCCTAATTGCTTGGATCGATGCTCATGATGTCAATCACCAGATTGTCTGGTCCAGACTCGATTGTTTTTCAGACCGCCGTCATATAGCTGGAATATTGCTGAGTGTAGCGTTAAACAACAACCTAACACAATACCTTAAGATGTATGATCAACTAACTTGTATTTCCAGCCAGATGGAATCAATAGCATTCTAGAAGTGAAGTTGTCGCGCTCACAAAATCAATCAAAAGTGTAAAAATTACCAAAGCGCGACACTAAGACAACAGGACATGGTGACCGATGTCGCATTGTCGCGCTTTAATAAGATTAAAATCCACAACTGCGTTTTATAAACGCGTTAAAATGCACGACAACGAGACAATGTTCCTTCTTGGATTCAAAAGCGATCACTGCTCAAAAGGAAGCGAGTAAATAAAGATGAACATTGAATCATCATACAGTATTTTTTTAGTTTGAGTAAACATGGTAAAAAAGGTGTTGACGGTCTGAATTCGTGATACTTCACCCGAAGAGCTGTTGGCGCGTCTGGCCAGTGACAGACTAGAGTTTCATACACCGTACACATCCCGTTCCGAAATGTCAACCAGTTCGTTAAAAAGTACATATAAGGCATTACATGTATACATCACAAGAAAAAGGTGTTTCCTCTCGAAGAACTTATGTTTTCTGGGTCGGGCACTGTTTGCGTTACAACTACTAAGTCTTGTTGACGCTCCGAGGTCACCGCGACCTTACCCGCCGGTTTGTAGAACCAAACCTCCTCATCTCTCTGAGTGATATGTCTCACCACCTATGTTTCATCCTTCAGAACGATGCCTCGCCACCTGTTTCATCTCATTGTACCCATGTCGGGAATCGAACCCAGGTCTTCGGCGTGACGAGCAAACGCTTTAACCACTAGGCTACCCGATTGTCCCATCATCCCTTACAATGCTACCTCTCCACCTTATGTCATTCCAAAGAATGATGACTGATTGAATGATTGTGGGTTCGAATCCCGGTTCGCCCCGACTATGTTTCTAGGTTTGTCAGCACCATACCCGTGCTCGAGTGTTTCACCGAAGTGGTAAACGTCTGAGACCTGCATCACTTCGGGCTTTCCTCCCACATTAAGTTGACATACCGTGATATAACTGGAATACTGTTAAACGCGGCGTTAAACCCAACTCACTCACTCACTCATCCTTTGGAGGGCAGTCGGGTAGCCTTGTGGTTCGCTCGCCACGCCGAAGACCCGGGTTCAGATCCCGACATGGGTACGATGTGTGAAGCCCATTTCTGGTGTCCCCCGCCGTGATATTGCTGGAATATTGCGGCGTAAAACCATACTCACTCATCCTTTGAATGAAGTCTCACCGACTATCTGTCATCCCTTAGACCGAGTCCAAGAATCAGTGACAATGAAGCAGAATCGAGTGTATATACCCATAGGCTAGTGTGGCTATGAATAGCAAAAGCTGTAGTTATGCTTCGTATAACATTGAATACACCAGCCCGACTATAGCAGCCCATTCCCTTCCCCGCCCGCCTTACGTACTGCTTAATATATCCGACATATATAACACCGACTACACCAACATATTATACAACTCTGAATATATCCCGCCCGTATATCTCACTTAATGCATTATACCCGAATAAAACTCGGAATATGAAAAAGCGTATACCCAACAGTTGGTATAGTGTCCTACCTATCCATTGTTAGACACCTGTGTCCGCCTCAGTACGCCAGCAATATGTCTACCAGGCCTTGTGCTCGCAACAACACCCAACAGGTCACGTCCCACTGAACCAGTCAAGCACGACCGAGAGTAGATGCGGCAGGTCTCCTTTGTGACATGGCTAGCTTAGCTATATATCATGTGCACCCGAACATGTTTCGTCCAGGGTGTTGTATTCTCAATTTCAGATGTTTGCTTACATGATCGCTTTTTTTCATATTTGCACTGAACAGTCATCCATATACCAGCTACATCACGGCGGCTTGTTGTTATACACGCCATATACACCAGTAAGGAAGGTGAGGTGAGGTGAAATGGGGTTTAACCTCGCGTCCAAGATTGTTGCACTTATATAGCGACGTGCATGTACGTGTGTGTGTTTGTGTGGCTGCTTGTACTAGTCCGAACTGATGCCGATTTATAGTGCTAGCTCGCTGAGATACGTTGCCGCAGTTTAACATGAATACCCCAATCAGACACAGTGAACTGACTCCGAGCCGACCAGTCCTTGTTTTAGCCCCTTAATGCCGAGTGCCACACAGGGTAACAACAAGTACCATCTTTTAACTTCTTTTGGTATGACGCGGTCGGGGATCGAACTCCGGACATTCCGCTCTCCGGGCGGACGCTCTACCACTAGACACGGAGGCGGTCCAGTAAGGAAGAGAATATATAGATGTCAACTTCTTTGTTATGAGGAACACAACGTTTCGCAGTATATGCTTACTCCTTCATCAGGTGAATAATAAAGAAGTTGATATCCATATATATTCTCTTCCTTATGTGTGTCACTTCTAAATGCCCTTCAAAGACAAGTGTTTGGCAGCATGAGGGGCGATCTATGTCTTTGGGTTACGATGACATACATTGAACAAGGTCACACATTGTGACGACCGATATGAGTGGACTTTCCATAAACGTGGTGCTTACACCACAAGTTATTGCACACATTAGAGTGAGTGAGTATGGTTTTACGCCGCTTTTAGCAATATTCCAGCAATATCACGGCGGGGGACACCTGAAATGCGCTTCACACATTGTACCAATGTCGGGAATCGAACCCGGGTGTTCGGCGTGACGAGCGAACGCTTTAACCACTAGGCTACCCGACCGCCCATTTTGCACATTAGAAATATGTGGGTCTTATGGTCCCTTCTTATCATTGTTCACACAGACCTCTATATATCTTCTATCAAAGGGGTTGTCTGTCCAGACTCGATTATTAACAGGTCGTCTTCACTCAGCTGGAATGGATATAATGCTGCATGTGCGTTAGACAAGAAACAAATGCCATTAAACGTTTTTCTAATAAAACACATAACTTCATTTCATATTAGTAAACGATTATGAATAAATCATGAATGATTTCAAATGCGTGACGCCATGCAAATATTCAGCTCCCTCGATCTGTGTTAAATTTAAATTATATTCATTTCATTTACCTAACGGGGGCACGGGTGGCCTAGTCGTCTAAGGCGCGAGATTCGCTGTGCAGAGTTGCGTCCCTTGGGCACACCAGAAACCTATGATTGTGGGTTCGAATCCTGGTTCGCCCCGATTATGTTTCTAGGTTTGTCAGCACCATACCCATCACCATGGGTTTCACCGAAGTGGTAAACGTCTGGGACATGCATCACTTCGGGCTTTCCTACCACATCAAGCTGACACGCCGCAATATAACTGGAATACTGTTAAAAGCGGCGTTAAAACCCAACTCACACTCCCTCATTTTGCCAACTATAGAAGGATAGAGCTTCATATACATTGTCCTTGACGTTGGGCATTGAGGTGGCAAGATTGTGAGTGACTGTTACCTAATAGGACAATCCAGTGATTGATATCATGAGCATCGATCCACGCAATTGGTTGGTTTGTTTATTTGTTGTTTAACGCCGCACTCAGCAATATTCCAGCTATACGACGGCTGAGTGTAAATAATCGAGTCTGGACTGAGCCTGTCGCTGAGTGCGGCGTTAAACAAATAGCAAACAGCATAACTAGAGGCAAGGAACAATACTGTGGTTGTGGGTAGGCTGTAGTAGGTGCGTGTTTCCCCAATAATCGATAATGGCAGCACATAAATATAAAAACAAAAACAACGCTAGAGAATAACCAGTCTCGATTATCCACCGAAATATTTTCCATTCGGCGTAAAAGACAAACAAGTGGTAAGAATTATATAAATGGGTCACTGAAAATCAGAGATGACACCAAGTGTTTGCGAATATTGAAAGCATGTCCTGCCCTACCGGTTTCACCCGCCACTCACACAATTGTGTTATTGCCTGGGCCGTGTAATAGTGGCTATGAAGGAACTGTCGCTCTTTTGTAAATACTTGCATGATGATAAGGAAAGGCCGGGTCACCATCACTTTGCACTTATTGACCTGAGGCACGGCAATCTGATTGGATAATGAACGAATGACGTCACAGAAAAGAACTCACTACTTTTGCACCCTTTCTATTTCAAAGGAATTTCACAACATACTGTTGTATAGTTTTAATTACACTGATAAGGCCATGTTAGAATGTATAACCATTGGTCTATTTTTAGCGCGAGAATTCACGGTTATTGCACCATCACTTGTAAGGTCCTGTGCCTCACTGGTCATGTCTCTTTTTAGCGTGACGTCATTCGTTCATTATCCAATCAGAATGCCGTGCCTCAGGTCAATAAGTGCAAAGTGATGGTGACCCGGCCTTTCCTTATCATCACTTGCAAACACTTTCTAGTTGCTTGATTAAATGACGGACGTGACGGGTAGTTACATTGTCACTTGAAATTCCATGCTTGACCCTTGTTACGAATTTACCTATTATCAGAACTGCTTCCCCCTGTTTACCTTATAAAACATGTCGATGAAGCAATTCTTCGATAATAGACTGAACACGTCCCTATTACTACAGCTAAGACAAAGCTTATGAATGTGACGTCATACTAGTATTTAACAGTGGATATGGTGCATATTGGAAGTTAAAATGACAACATCCTGCTCCTCCACAGCACGTGGTTTCTTGTACGATGTAGCATATCATGTACCCGTGGACCGACACAGCCAATGACTAAATACGTATTACAAAGTTTTATTGACCAAAAAATACCCCAAATAAAGATACAAGAATGACACAAACGGTAAAGCTTGAAATAGCGATGCAGATACATACATGTGTGGTGATTAGATTAAGCAAACATATCTGTCATGTCAAAACCTTTTTTCATGTGCACACTGAACACACTATGTGAAGGCTTAACATGACATTGTTGTTTATTCAGCAATGTTACGTAGGCCATCGTCCCGTGTCACAACCAATGTACAGCAGCCACTATTATAATTGAAATTTACATCAGCAGTTTTGGCCTTAATTGCATAGACTTATAAATATACATAGCCAAATTTCTTATGATATTACATTTATCACTTGACATCAAGACATTGAATTTATGCGATGTGGGAAATACATAGTAGTTTTCTTGGAATGTACTGTTCACGCAGTTCGGCATACATCGTGCACACAAACAAGAAATGATACTCATCCTCAACGAAACCTTTTTTACAAACATTGCAAAACCTTTCATTTCTTGGAACATTTGCATTTTTGCCAGTCCGAATTTTTGGTTGGTGAGAATTACATCTAAACTTTGCTAAAGCTACACGAAACTTATGGATAGAGAAATAAACATGGCTAAATTCCATTTAAAATAATAACTTTCTTAACTTTAATGCCCAAATGGTTTAACCATGACTCATATCTAACAATATCGTAAATGAGTCAAGTCCGGATGCCAGGACAGCATGATATTTGTACTTGATCAACAAGATCCTTAATGAACAATGAAAACAGCAAGGGGCTTAAGACACATCCCCGACAAACTCCCACGCTACAGTCAAACATATCTAAAAGTAAAGTAATAAATTTAACACACGATTTTACACTTTCAAAAATAGTCATGATACAACACAACATTTTAGGCCAAACCCCATTGTGTTGTAGGACTGACAATAATTTTGAACGATTGACTAAATCGAAAGCCTTAGCAAAATCCACAAAATTAAACATATAATTTGCCTTTCTTTTTCCCCCAAGAGACGACCAACAACAGACTGTCATATTAAAACAATATCCACAGCTGAATAACCCTGCAGAAACCGGCTTGCGATTCCGAATTGTTTTTCATACGCATCACACCAAAATCTTAATCTCGCATTCAAAACTAAAATTTTAATTTTACTAAAAACACTGAAAATTGTTATACCTCTTAGTAAGATGTAGAATTAAGATCTCCCTTCTTATGTAATGGCACTATCAATCCTATCGACCACGATTCTGGGAAAACAGAACCCTAAAAAGTCGATTTAAAAAACAGTAAGAAGCGGTAATAAAATATCACTTGCATGCTTAAAAAAATCGGCAGTGATATTATCATTCCCGGGCGATTTTGAAGTTTTGAGATTGTCCAAAGCAGCTGCCGCCTCCTCTTGAGTAATTGGTAAATCCAAAATGTCGGCAGTAAATGCATCAAAATCAAATATCCCCAAGATAAACATTGACATCGTCCATATTATTATTTCAAATTACTATCATCTTTATTCAATCTTAACACTTTAAGTCACCTGTCTCTCTCACATCGATAACACTCACACTCCTGATCATGCCATGATTGTTGAGATTTCTGTGCAAAGCAGGCCCGTTTACGTTTCACGTTTTACATATTGCATCTGTATATTTTTCTATGGCAACATTCATACTTTTAGACATAGATTGTAGACATTCTTCAAACAAGGAAATGACATCATCTACAGCCTAACATATTGCATCTGTAATTTTTTTCTATGGCAACATTCATACTTTTAGACATAGATTGTAGACATTCTTGAAACAAGGAAATGACATCATCTACAGCCTAACAAATTGCATCTGTAATTTTTTTCTATGGCAACATTCATACTTTTAGACATAGATTGTAGACATTCTTCAAACAAGGAAATGACATCATCTACAGCCTATCAAATTGCATCTGTAATTTTTTCTATGGCAACATTCAATACTTTAAGACATAGATTGTAGACATTCTTCAAACAAGGAAATGACATCATCTGCCAGCAGCTTATCCCTAAACAGGCCAGCTTTGTTTACGTGCCACACATGACGGTAATCATCCGCTGGTTCACAATGAGAGATTGATGCTTGTCAGAGACTTCAAGCATGCAACACTGTATCACAAACGATACAAGGGTAAACAGAAGTGTCTACACAAAACATAGATGCAGGAATAGTAGCAGACCAAAATATACAGCAGTAATATGATTGCCATGGCATCAACAGCAGCACATAAAGATCAAAAGTTAAAGTTTTGCAATACACAGAATACACACCATGTGTTCCGTATTTCACATACTTTCAACATACGTGTGCCACATTTAACAAAATGACCAGGGTTATTTTTCAAAGACACCTATGTCTGGTATTAAATAATTATGTAAACTTTCAACCTAAAAATAATTTGAGTCACAATGTGGGACATTTAACATTTCTTTCTGGCCGATTTGACAACTTGTCAACCCTTTATCTGTTAAACACTATTAAGGCATAACATTTGACCATTATTCATTGCTAACTTCGGCCAGAGAATGAAGATGCGGGTGACAACCATCCTCGATGAGCCAGTGTATCACACCTCCTTTCTATGGGTCCGGATTATCTATCATAAAGGAAAATACAAGGATGGTCCACAGCGTGTCAACATATTATATACATGCATAGCCTCTCATAAACAGTGCAGATAATTATTATAAAAAGTTTCTTTTTCATCTCAAAATTATGTGTATGTATATATAGACTTATTCATATTCAAGAGATATTTGATTGGTTTGATGCCCAAACGAACATATTGGTATGTTTTGTGAACGCTACACATGTTACGTCATAGATCCATGACTCGAGATGCACCATTTGTCTTGTGCGGGATTAGCGTGTAAACTTTGGAAATCACTTGCAGCATTACGTGATAAGACTAGTGTCACTCTCTGGTAACACTTGACTGCTTGTGAGTTTTGTCATTAAGTGGCACACATTGAAAACAAAGTACATACTTTATGAACATGTTAGAGGTGAGGTGAAATAAAGTTTAAGATTGCGTCAAGGTTATTTCACCTACGATTATTATGTCACTTAAGCATCTCGTTTGTGGTTGCTTGCACTAGTCCGGATTTCAGTGTGCTAACTCACTGAGATACCACACCGCAGTTTAACATGGGTACTCGTTCAGACACAGTACACTGAATCTGAATCCCTTAATGCCAAGCGCCTGGTAGGGTAACAACAAGTACCGTTTTTTAACGTATTTTGGTATGATGCGGCCATGTTATCCAATCACCGAACTAAACTCCATCTATTACACCATGGATGTTTCAACCTAGAACAATAAAGCAGGTTGCAAATATATACATATAATAAATAGCTAAAAAGCAGTTGTTCATATGCCAGAAGTTCACTTGGAATGTTTTAAGTAGTTGCATATTGCATATTCTCATCCATTGAGTCAGCAATCAAAGCTAAGCCACATTCCCGGAGGGTATTTTTCAGTTTTGCACAAGTAGCATCTTTAGAGAAACGTTTTCTCCAAAGCAGCAAAGCCTGCAAAGCCTGTTCCTGGAGGTTTCGACTGCAGTTGTGTTCCAAGTTTTCAGTGTCATTGTGATTCAACCCAAGTTCCACGGCAACACGTTTCCAGTCAGTCCCAAGTTGTTGTGAGACAGCTTGTAGCATAGAGTCTTGAATTGCTGTTGAAAAAAAATATAATCTACATGAACCAAATTCCTCATTATAAAACATTCAATACTGCTAAATACATACTATCTGTGCAAGGTGTAACGATATCACTCCTACATATCTAAGGCATGTTAGAACTGCTCCCGACTCGATCATTTACAGACCGCCGTCACATAGCTGGAATATTGCGGCGTTAAACAACACACAAACACCATTAACAGTGATGATACAAGGTGTTTGCGAAAAGTTGAGCGTGTCCTGACCTTCCGGTGGCACCATCACAAAGACAAATCCATTATTAACATTCCACAAATGTCTAATTGTTTCAGGTGATTTGCAAGTTCTTACCAGGAAATGAAGTACACATATGAAACATAATCAGATAATAATGAGAAGCGTTAATGATATGCATTTATTTGCTGAAAATACATACAAGTAAAAGCGACAAGACCCGTTCCCACACCATATGAAACCTCTGCCAATAACAGTCGATTGTACAATTCCGACTATATCATGAGCATTTGTTTAAGAATCACTATCAAATCGTGTTGATACCAGGTGTAAGCGTATCCTGCGCCACTGAATTGGCTATTTGATTGAACGATATCAGATCACCAATATACCTGAAACTTACATTAAACTTCTTTGCCAATTTACCTTGTTTTAACTTTGTCAATCCCGAGCAGAAATTCCGATTCATATGCATAAAGAAACAAATCAGCAAGAAAAGAAGCACATTTGCTGCCCATGAGGATGCTATTTCTTGACTAAATGTCTTATCCTCACCCTTACGTAGATGATATCAACGAGGAAGCCCAACATTTCACATATTGTTTTCTCAGTAAACTTCAGATGTCATTTGCCTTCATTTTTAAAATATTGTCCTGACACTTCTGAACATATATATGTAACTGTATCAATGGTCTCAACGATTTCTAAAGTTTGTTATGTGGGAAAGTGGTGTAGAAAGATGAAAAAACAAATGTTTTGGTACAACTGAACCTGGTTCTTTTCTGAGATTGTAAAACTGCAAACAAGTCCTTTTTTGAGAATCCACATGGTATTAACTCCACTTGTCTCAAATACTTTCTGTCAATATAAAGAAAGTAAATATTTGATTGTATTTAGGATTATGGTTTATCTTTAAGACGTGAATTTGGTGGTACATCCTATTCCATCTAATTGCAAGAAATACCAGAAAAAATTAGAAAACATCAACATACCTTATAGTGAAACAATAGAGTGTATCGTGGTATAAAAGGAATTCGCTTAAAGTGTGCGAGAGAAAACCCATGTGCAGCATGGACTTGCTCGAGTCATTACATGATAAACTGAACCTCTTCTCATCACCGGCCCCGGGGGATTAGTGGGAAAACAGTGGGTAACAAAAATCACAATAAAAATGGACTTTCATGTCTGTTTCATATATTAAACAACAGTTATCATTGTGTATAATTCTGAAAATACTACCTCTATTACATCATAGCCACAGTTCCTGCAATTTGGCTTATATCACAAAAAAGTCCCTAGATATTCAACAGATTCTTGATTGTCAGCCATCCAAACCAGTTTTTAGGTAAACCGTCCTTTGTGCAAAATGCTAAAAGACAACAACTGTAAGTCTTATCTTGATGTTAAGTGAACTGTGGCTGGTCAGGCCGAACATCTCCATCTCTCAGCAGCGTCCCCTGCAAAGTAGTGTTGGGCACTCTACTGATATCTCCAGTAGTACTAGGTACCATACCTAGCAATAAGGGGCAGTTCAGCTCCCTACCTCCTTACTTCCAGAGGTATAGGTATCTGCCTATCCAGGGTACCGTTTCACAAAGCAGTCGTAAATTTACACGCTCGTAGATTTTACGCCATATTTGCTCAATGTTTACGCCATAGTCTAAGACTGTTTCACAAAGCTACACTAATACTGGCGTAACCTCGGCCAACTTACACGCACGTAAAAAATACGATTGGAGCTCTTTCCCTTTGTATGGTAGGAAAATCCGCACTAGAGTTGTCTACCGTGGCAGGTGCTCTGAGCAGACGACGAGGCGCATTAAAATGGAGGAAATTAGCGACAAGAAATCGAGGAAGAGAAACTTTTCGGCCACAGAAGTAGAAATTCTTACAGAAGAAGTTGGCAGCAATTCAGATGTGTTGTTTTCATCTTTTTCTTCTTGCATTACAAACAATCGGAAGAAGAAGATATGGGAGGATATTCTGACAAAGTGAGTGCATTTCACGGCATTGAACTCACATCTGTCATATGAAGGATGTGTTTTATTTGGAAGTGATAGACCTATGCCATTTAGAGTTATCGCGCTTGTTGTTATGCGGAAGTAAACAAATAGCGATAAAAGGTGACTGTAGGTCTACTTGAACTTGCAAGAGGCCTATATTTCTTTGATAGTGCAAAATTTGAAAAGGTGGGAATTATTGTTATTGCTAGGGATACAGATCTGAAATATTGTGCATAAGTGCATATACATGTATGCACACATATAAGAGGTCGCGGAAGTATAACTATTTTCACATTATAAAACAAATTGCATATAGACTAAACGTAAATTTCCTAAATGTCCGGCTCAGTGATTAGGAACAAAAAACGCCAAAATCACTTATTTTTAAACATCTTCATATTTAATGGTAGACAACAACAAGGCAATTGTCAAACATGGGTGACATCGAGCAAAACATTATAATTTTGAAATAATTTTTGTTTACAGGATCAACGCCAATAACACGGAGGTAAGGACTGTGCCTCAGAAATGGCAGGACCTCAGGGCTGCAGCCAAGAAGAAGGAGGTGACAAGGAGGAAGGAGAGTGTGAGAACTGGTGGAGGTGGCCCTCCTACACAACTCACTACTGTTGAACAGAAGGTATGAAACAGGAAGAATATGTCAGATCATATGTAATAGTCTAATTGCCCAAATGCATGACATATGGATTATGCATGAACATGTGAATTGGGCCAGAAATTGTGATATGATACCAAGAAAAACAAATGTTACCTGTCTTAGTTATTTGTGTTATATATAATAATATAACAGACTTATAAAAAGCTTAAATTGACTTTATTTCTACTGGCATAGGGGAAATATTTATGCAAAATACTGATGGGAGGTAATGCAAGCCGGATTCCTGTTGCGAACCAGTATTTGTATGTGCTATTGTTCACCATCTGCATATTTCCTGCGTCTTAGTCCTTGAACTTGATCATATCGATTTGCATTCAGGGTGAATGAGATTACATTTCGAAATAATCATCACCAATGATAGGACAGTCGTGTGTCTTGAAGATGGACTTGTTAATCTGGTTGAAAGCTAATTTGACGTCCACCGTCATCTACCAGTTTAATAACTTATTCCGTGAAGGAGGGAAATGGAGTGCTAAAGTCCTTCACTTTGATGACAGGTTAACTAAACCCCGCATGCTCAGTCAGCTGGGTTGTTGGCTCCTCAGAACGTGATTGAAGTCCAATATCAGATGAATTAATTAATGTACAATGTCTCCATCATCGCACATGTGCAGGTGCATTAGCCTGAGGATAAGATATACCTCAAAACTAATTATTGATAAATTGCAGTGAAGAGAACATCTGTTTAAAATCTGAACATTTTATGGTGTGATAACAGCAAAAACGGTGAATTTATAGTGTAATAGAGGTTAGGTATTCAAAGGAATTATTCTGGATCTTGCTATTCTACCCTAAAATCCCCCAGTGCTACGAGATTCATAAACTTAATGACCTTACCTCCAACAGGAAACTGTAGGCTTGGCGATCTGTGAAGCTCATGTTCCGTGGAAGTAGACATTACTTTCTCTGGAGACTGTACACTTGGTGTCTGAACAATGTGTGGAAATCCTTCGTCAGCACTAGATTTGGAAACATCTAACACTGACACTTTAGTTTGAATGTAACGTCCATTGTTTTCTCTTAACTCTTCACGGTACATAAATCTCTTTAACGGAACATATTCAGGTTCCGTATGGTAACCAACACAGTTTTGATGTGTACGTTTAAGTCTGTGTGGGTCTTTCTTTTGGATGTAAGCATTACATCTGCTTGACTCGGGTGCAAGTGACCTTGATGTTGATGGTTCTGAGCCATGCTGATTTGAATGATGAACTACTTTATCTGTAAGTCTTTGTGGGTCTTTCTTTTGGGTGTAAGCATTATCTCTGCTTGACTCGGGTGCAAGTGAATCAGTACATGACCTTGATGTTGATGGTTCTGAGCCATGCTGAGTTGAATGATGAACTACTTCATTGTGGTGAATGGGTTTGGGGTTACAAGGCCCTAGTTTGATTTCTTTAGACAACCTCCTTGATATGATGCCCCAACGATAATCTTCATCAAGGGCAACGCTCTTCGTGCTATGTTTCTCAAATCTGTCGCAAGGGATGGACTCTGGAGCTAAATACAAGAATAAATACATACGTTATTGATATTCTGTTATTAATACTTCATATGCGACATGGGGGTGGTCTTGTAGCCTAGTGGTTAAAGCGTTTGCTCGTCAAGCCGAAGACCAATATTTGATTACTGACAGAGGTACAATGTGTGAAGCCCATTTCTGGTGTCCCCCACCGTGATATTGCTGGAATATTGCTAAAAGCGGCGTAAAACCATACTTACTCACTCATATGTGAAATTGAGAATCTATCTTCGAATGACTTCACAGGAACCATATAAGAAGCTTTCAACAAATATAATCTATACTGTATAAATACATATAGTAAGCAGGTGATTTTTTCTTGTTCTTCCAAAAATCTAGCAAATGGTTTATATAAACAACAACAACAATAATAATAATAATAGAAATATCCTATTGTGCAGATCATTTGGGATTTCTTCTATTGACAATAAGCTCATAATAATTACAACTTTCTTAATGTATCATATTGAAAACCTCAACTAGTTGGATATCTCATTTTCATTTCAAACATCTTTGAAAATTGTTGAATTTTCCTATTCAGAATATTCTATAAGTAATACATTACCACTGTTATACCGAGGCTGTTGTCCCCCACAACTGCTCTTATAGCGAAATCTTCCATAGAGATCTCAATAACCTCATGCAGCAGGTGCGTAGCCACCTAGCTGCCATGTGACACCCTTCACTCTTGTCTCTTGCGAGAGCAAGTGCTCAGGGAACGGACAGGCGGGCAGCAGCCTAGTGGTAACGTATTACTTATAGAATATTCCGAATAGGAAAATTCTACAAATTACATTAAATAATACGTTACCACTGTTATACCGGGGCTGACTACCACAGTAGGCGGTGGGGAGCACCTACAACCCGAAACCTGACTGCTCGTGTTGCTCGTGTTGCTCGTGTATACAACAAGTGAATAAGTGGGTATGGTTTTACGCCGCTTTTAGCAATATTCCAGCAATATCACGGCGGGGGACACCAGAAATGGGCTTCACACATTGTACCCATGTCGGGAATCGAACCCGGGTCTTCGGCGTGACGAGCAAACGCTTTAACCACTAGGCTACCCGACCGCCCCGTATACAACAAGGCGGAAGCACTCGATACGTATGCTCCCAGCTTGGCGTTACCATATAGGGATACCAAAGCACTGTCAAGCGCATACCGTAAGGCTCAATCGTTATTGCCAGACGATTGGTGACTCCAAACGGCCACACTGGATAGGTATTTCATCACCGCAGGGGATGAGAACACAGTATCCATGTGAGCTGAATCTTAGATCAGGTTAAACAGTCGAAAAGAGGGAAATTAATTTCATTCGGACTGTATATCCCAAGAACAAGCCTACTTAAGCGTGTGTAATAGGCGCACGACCTAAATTCAATTTTGGAAAGCATGCATTACAAGGTTGCAATACACGACAGACAATTAAGTACATAATTGTCAAATCCAAATAATGAAACACACAGAAAGCCGCTCTCACCTGTGGATGAGCGCGCTGGAATGTGGGACCCCCACTCCCGTAACCACGGCTGTCGGAACGTTGGAGTAGACCCAGATTGGCCACTGTGCAAGGTCTGAAGCCTGAGGAGTTCGGGATTGCGCTGGGCACACCCCTTAGATGACCGCTTGTGCCGCGATCAGCGGCCCAAGACGGTACACACCCTCTACGTCTTCATCAGAGACCTTTCTGAGGTAATAATTTGCAAAAATCGAGTCAGAACGCCAGTAACAACCCCGCAATATTCTGTGAACTGATATATTGGAGTGTAGGGCAAATGTTGCCGCCAGCGCCCTAATCTCGTGCGGGTTTGACTCCGCAACCGGTAACACCCAAGACCGGTACGCCAGATTGATGACAGTACGAAGCCATAAAGCAATCGAGTTGCGAGTTATGTCAGCAGTCCAATTAGGGTTACACGATATGAACAGATGGTCACGCCCTTGGCTGCGTTCATTCAAAGCCTTAAGATAATACTTAAAGGCCCTAACCGGACACAGCGATCTGTCCTCGGTATCAGCAGGATGTAAGATTTCCTTGAGTGATCTTACAGTGAATTCTCTCTCCGTTTGACCAAATTTCTGATTCTTAGCGACGAAGCCCATGAGCAGGCCCAGGCGGACCGCTCCTTCTTCGCCCCTATCAAATCATACTTTGGTGAAATCGAGTGCGTGTATTTCAGACACTCGTGCTGCCATGGCAAAGGAGAGGAGAAATGCTGTTTTCCAAGTCACATGCCGGAACAAAGCACTACCCAAGGGTTCATACGGAGCCTCCGTAAGTGATTTCAACACTAAGGAGAGATCCCAGGCCGGTGCCCAAGGCGGCGCTTTTTAAGATCTTGCTGCTTGAAACCCTTGATAATACCCCAAATCACCGGCTCTTTTGAGAGACTGGTACTCATAGCAACGTCCCGTACCATAGCAACGGACAAGACGTAGTTGGCAATGGAACCCCCGGAGAGTTTCCGCGTCTCTCGTAAGTGAGACATGAAACGAGCAATATCCTGCACAGATACCTTATCTGGCGAATGAATGTGATGTTTACAACACCACTTCGTGAAAATAGCCCAAAGTGCATTATACACCTTCTGGGTAGAATCACGATGCATACTAACGTATGCCCATGACGCCCGATGTGAAAAGCCTTTACTCCTCAGGCGCTCGGTGACAACATCCACGTGTGCAGACTGAACTGCCCTGCGTTTGGATGAAGCTGACGGGTGTGAGGGTGGATCAGGAGATCCGGTCTCACAGGCAGTGGAAGTGGCGACTGCGTGGCCTGGGCCAGCAAGTCGGGGTACCACGGTCTGTTTAGCCACATGGGCGTGATCAGTAACATTCGACAGCGAACACCTCTGAGCCAGCTAAGAATGTGTGGTATTAACGCCGTCGGTGGGTAAGCATAAGCATCCATGCCCGTCAAGTCTAAAGCGAGAGCATGGTGATCGATGGCCCTCGGGTCCAGAACTGGTGATACAAACGGGAGTTGAACCTGGTTGCGAACAGGTCGACATAGCGAGCATGGAGTGCCGTGGATTCCCAGCAGTACCGGCAGGGGCTTGGGCATGTCCTCAAAGATGTCATAAACCATGGCCATGCGGTCCTTAACCGATAGCGGAGCCAACAGTTCGGGAGAAGTACCGGTGACCACGGGAGCCCCCGTCACACTGAAAGACCCCACGTCCGAACCCCCGGCCACCGAAGAGGCCGGGGACGGAACAGCCAGGGATAAGGCCGCCAGCTTGTAGTCAACGAGTTGCGAAAGCAACGCGGTAACGGATCCCCGGTCAGCCCAAGGGCCGCCTGGGGATCCGATGCAGACGTTGAAGTGGGGTACCTGCAAGGGGACCCCAACTGGACGAGCCGGCCACCACAGGGGTGGAGACAGACTGCACGTAGTGCCTGTAGCACTTGAACGCCTCAGGCCCAGACCGTCGCACAGGGCGCACCGGGTGTCCCCACAAGGAACCCTGCACCGCGGGCAACGATTTTGGGGATCCCGGGACGATAGAAGTTTTTTGGCACACTGTGCAACGCCAGGTTGCGGGAGTGAAGGGGGGTGGAGCACGGCAAAGTGTCCATGTCAGACATTGTTTAAGCTATAAACAAAGAACAAAACATGGTTACAACACAAGCGCCACAAATATTCACAAAAAATAAAATTAACGATTAATGCGAACATAAAACACACACATATTTGAGCGTTAGAGAAATAGGTGGTGTAAAAAAAACAACACATACTATAACAGGGGAACGTAAGACGCAACATGCAGACGAAACACCCCGAAAGTATATAGAGAAAGGGGTGGGAAAAAAATTTCCTTTTGGCGGGAAAAATATGAAGTTAAAGCAACGCCCTCAATAGATACAGTTTATATGCAAGTAATAAACAGTAATAAATATCACCAAAGGATGGAGAAAACAGGAACGCTCAGAGCAGTCTTTGTACGTCTTGCTGAGGAAAGCGAAGAGACAAGAGTGAAGGGTGTCACATGGCAGCTAGGGGCTATGCACGTGCTGCATGAGGTAATTGAGATCTCTGGAAGATTTCGCTATAAGAGCAGTTGTGGGGGACAACAGCCTCGGTATAACAGTGGTAACGTATTACTTGTGTAATTATCCTTTATATTCTCAGATTAGTATGTTATGATCAGAAGAAATAAAGGAATTTTAATTTATTGCAGGATCATCATGAATCTTAGAATAAGTATATAGGCCATACCATAGAACAAAATTCCTGCTGCCTCTTTGGCAAATGCTATTTGGAAAGAGCCATCTTCTTGCGACATAAACACTTTTAGTATTCCTTCGTGTGCTGACTGCTCTTGCATGGCAATTCTTGGGATCAGTATAGTGCTTCCAGACACAAGTCCACACTGTTCTAAAGTCTCATCATCCTGAAGACATCTACCTCCGTGAATCATGTTTATCATGACATAACAGCATCCCAGTGTACGTGCAAGGTACTCCTTTAGCCTCCTAATGGTATATTGCAATCCATCAACTGTGAGATGAAGACATTCGCTTCCAGGCTGACGTACTAGGATATATTCTGGCTTTGAAAAAACCCATGCAGCAATACTGTCATCATGCCTTATACGGTAATCCTGCATAAGCCTTTCATTTTCCAGTTCGTTTCCATTGAAGATCATCTGGAGCTGGCAGGCTGCAAAATGTCCTTGCTCCTCTGTTATCTCCTTTAGGCGCTGTACAGAGTCAAGCTTGAACAGTTGAACAGCTCTGCTCTTTGTTGATCCTTCACAATGCAATGTGACCAGGACTCGTATCTGCTTTGCAACCTTAGCCAGTACTACACAATTTGGACCAATACCAACCGATTCCGACAACACCATTTCTTTCAGCTTCTTGTTGTCAGTGTACAGATGCAGGGCACTTGGTGGTTGTCCGGTCAAATGTGAGACTTCTTGTCGAAGTGCAGCTGTCGTGAAGGGAGCTGACATCAGCAAGATTTGAGATGTATGTTCTTGGAAATTCATTCTCAAGATAATCGGAAATGAACTTGCTTGCTTGACGTGCACAACCAGCCGTTCTCTCTCAAGTAATTGCAATGTTTTCCGTCGACCAAAGAAGAAATATTTGTCATCGTTCTCAAGTTTTTTGCCAACAGAGAACCAGACATCATCAACGCCAGATGCAAGTCCTGGAAACTCAGTGCAGAAAGAGTTTTTGAACACTTGTTTCATCTCGCCAACAGTGTCTGTATTGAAACAGTCGATGGTACATTTGTATTCCATGTTTAGCCTTGGCATGTAGAAACAGGGTACAGTCACATTTAATTTGGCAATACATGCAACATCTTCTCCATTTTTAAAAAGTGAACCAACTGTCACTGAATCCTCATCGCACCGTTTCCCGTTATGAAACAGACACAGGGATTCACCTTCGTTGAAATGTTTATTGTCACATATGATTGATTTCATTGTACCAATAAGGGTTGTTGGGGCAAGGCCAATACATCTTCGAGGTTCCCTTGATTCCCGTGCATATGGAAATGATGAATCCACTCTCAGATTTGTTTGGAAATACATAAAAATGATCAGTAAATCTGTGTTGTCATGGATAACTGCAATCTCCTTCTCAGGGTTAAAATAGACAAATTCTTCACACAGGCCATAATGTCCAGCTAGAACCAACCTATACTTTTGTTTTGGAACATTAGTGATAGGCACATATTCTGATTTGCTTTGAATAACTGCCTCCTTTTCTCGGATGTCATACACCAATATAGACTTCCCAAAGGCCAATCTCCTTCTCATATGAACTCTGTGTAAATCTGCAGATAAAGAAAAAGAAGAGTTTCATTAACCAAGAGGGTAGTTGGAAGAATAGCATCTGAACCGGAGACGACTTCACATAACACAAACAGCTTTTACATATCAACATTTTAGGACTTTACACTGGATAGATGGTACAAATGGATAGTGGAATCAGCATCTGCATCTAGGCAATGATAAATTCAAAATGAAAATTCGTAAATATGAAAGAGAAATTCTGAAAAATAGACACTCGTTATTTACAGTCCAACGTCACTTTACATTATTAATCTATCATTACTAAGTAACAATAAGTTCATAAAGGACAGCTCTGAGTCATAGAAGCTGTCAAAATTATCATCACAATCATCATTAAGTCCAGCAGAGTGTCTAGCTTCCTGTTTTTGCAACCTTTCACAAGAGGCCCTTTCTTGTACTTTTCAAACAAGGAAGGTTACAAAAATGCGAAAGAGGGCCATAACAAGAATGTCATGTGAAACTCCCCAGGTTCAACCATGGAAAAGATCAGATATAATAGGTATATGGTCTCTTATGAAACGATAAAATCATGCGTACACTGAAGTTGACTGAAGCTTTATCTTTACTCAAAAATATAAAAGTCAAAAGGAATGTGTGCATCATCAGAAAGAAATGGGAACATTAGCGACTTGTAGTGTAACCACTGAGCTCCAATGAGTTTTTGTCATTAAACAATATGTCTCGTGACTAACCACGGGTCCGGGTAGTACTGTGGGTACCTGAGTAGGACCCACCCGATCCGAGTACCCGGGTTACCCGCCCCAGCCCTAGTAGATATTGTATTTAGAGCCATTGTGTAGTTTAAATAGAGGTGCCTAGCTTAGTATAGTTTTAGTTAGTAAAGAGAGAGTGGAAGTGCAAAGTATTTTGATGTGAGTGTCTGTGTGCGAGTGGGTGACTGGCATGTGGTGTAAAAGGCCATGTTAGTAAATGAATGAATGCCAATAAAGTAGTTGGATAAAAAAATATGTGCTGTTGTTTGTTTGGGCGAGCATTGTGTGACAGTAACGTAAGTGTTGCTAAAACATTCTCTGGACGCATGTGGACCCTTGCACAACCATCAGTGTTGTTGCGATGAAACCTGGAGTCATCTGTGAAAAGTGTACTGTCCCAGTCTTGTCTTCTGAACCTCACATGCTGTCTACACCAAGGTAGGCGTACCTGACGATTGCGTTGAAGCAAAATTAGGCATATTGCTGGACATCGGGGCTGGATGTTGTGCTTTCTCAACCGATTGCGGATAATTCTGCCACTAATTAATCTGAACCCAGAAATTGTCTGTGGTGTTAATTTGGCAGTTTGATATCAATTCTGTAAATGCACCAACCGAATATGCTTGTCCTGTTGAGGAGACATCACATATGGACAACCGGACCATAGCTAGTCATGAGTGTTGCCTGCTCTAAATAATGACTCCAAAGATATGATATTGTGTTTCTATGAACATTCTTGTTTGATGCATACCAACGATTTGTAGACATTGATATTTAGCAAGCCGTGTGATTGTGTAAGCGTTATCAGTGGTTCTGTTTTTTTTTAGCACCTGATAGCTTAACAATCATTGTGTGCTGTTCACATTGAAATAAACGTGTGAGTATCATGCTCCCAACAAACACTTATATATCCAAATTGTCAGCCGTGCATGAACATGCACATGCAAATTGTGAATCACAATCTTAAAGTCAAGATGTCTTGATGAATATGTATCAAAAGATGCATTATTTAATTTCAGAATGAATGTCTTTTTATTGAATTTTAAATGAAGGACAGTTACTCTTTTCAGTATATATGGGAAACACTTCACCTCGGAATCTGACCACAAGCCACTGAGATTGCAGCACATGCTTTTAGAAAATACAAACATACGATGTGAAGATCAAGCATGGACCTGGCTAGGTATGTCAAGATTCACCAATACATAAATGCATCTATAATATTCTCAAACGATACGATACGCGATACACATCTACCTGTATCAAATCATATATTAATCGTTTCACACATGAACCTATTCATTCATATATAATTTCAGTTGCACATCTGGGGTATTTCACGAACAGGGTATTTGCTATTGTATTTAATAATAGTAAATACTTATGTTGCCACTCCAGTTTTATCTGAAATAAAAAATTGTTTTGTTTGTTTGAGTACCTCTTCTTCTTAAAAGCTCCGTTTTATATGCTCTTGGTACACCTTCATCGTCACTGTCCATGCCGCCAGTTCCTACAGATGTTTCTGCAAGAAATTGTTTCATTTCGTATTTCATGTGAACATGGATGTATATACTTGAATACATATAACAGCTGAAGTGATGGTGACTGTTGTTTAATGTCACTGTAAGCAAAGGCTTAGCAGTGTCACAGTGATCTGTACACACCTACCTGTATCAAATCATATATTAATCCTGTATCGTTTCACACACGGACCTATTCATTCATATTTAATTTCAGGTGCATATCTGGGGTATTTCTCGAACAGGGAATTTGCTATTGTATTTAATAACAGTAAATATTTATGTTGCCACTCCAGTTTTATCTGAAATAAAATAATGTTTTGTTTGTTTGAGTACCTCTTTGTCTTAGAATGTTAATCATATATGCTCCTGGTAAACCTTCATCGTCACTGTCCATGACGCCAGTTCCTACAGATGATTCTCTGGTTCAACTAGAAGGCCAGTTTCTGCAAGAAATTGTTTCATTTCGTATTTCATGTGAACATGGATGTATATACTTGAATACATATAACAGCTGAAGTGATGGTGACTGTTGTTTAATGTCACTGTGAGCAAAGGCTTAGCAGTGTCACGGTGATCTGTAAACCTTTGGCCAAGCAAATCAGTGGTTGTCTGCATGAGCAACGATCCACTTCGTCAGGGTACACTAATGCATATTCATCCATACCCCACATCCTTACCACCCTATCCTCTTTAAGCAGATTTTAGAACAAGCATGACGCACTGGGGACCTGTTCTGCCCTGGTATCCCCAACAGGGAGAATGAAGATGTGAGTTAGAAATGCATTGCTGATGATAAGAGCTCAATAGTTTGCCAACTTCTTTCAGAAGATATGAGTTCTTTCATTTAATGTCATGTAATTTTAACGTAGAAGTATTTCCTTAACTGAAAATCTAAATCTTTAGTGGTCGGGATGTGCCAAACTAGATTAAACACAAGGAAACAATGATTTAATCATTGAATTTTTGTATGACTTCAAAGAACATTTCCTATATCATTTCACACTTATGGAGATCCTGGTAAGAATATAGGTCCCACGCAACCCATGTTTGTCGTAAGAGGAGATTAAATGGATTGATTGGTCAGGATCGGTGACTTGGCTGACTGCATGTCATCGCAACCCAATTGTGTACATTAACTAGTACATACTTTACAAAGTCAGGAAGTGATAATATATAGACACTTGCACCATAGGCAATATGGTTTTACAAAGTAATTAAAGGTACACTACATACAAGTGCACATGGTGAGGCATATTTGACACACTGAATAGATTTTGGGATGACCAAAGGCATAGAACATGGTAATGCTACATTTAAATAGCATCTTCTTTTTCGATATATTTCCATAATGATAAGCAGAAGCCTCTAGCATATAATCAATTAAAGCTAATTGTTCAGTCAAATAAATATGAAACCTGATTAATGAACTGCTGTAATTACATAATATTGATCAGTTATTGTTAAAGAATAATGTTCATCAAATTTCATGCTCTTCCAAACTGAATAAAGGTTAAGATAATAATAGGCTACACATCCGCATCCTCATAGAGCAAATTATGTCATTTGCAGAAGGCAGTGATCGATTTGTTCGTGCAGTATGGTGTAATCAAAATGTTTCATGGAGTCGGGAAGAGAGAGGGTGAGACTCACGCCACGTTTACTAATATTCCAGAAAATGGCTCAACACATTGCAACCTGTTGGAATCGCCCGACACATAGTAGCCGTTTTCGCCAAATGCGTTTTGCTGAGGTGCCGTTTTAGCCTGCACCCGTTCGGGATGACAAGGTTTTAACAACCAAGAACTCCACCATGAAATTAAACAAAATTGTACTTCAATACAATGGAAGTTGTGGTATTTCTATGTCTGACAACCATTCCTTTCCATCTATAATTGCTGTATATATCATGACAACACTAAGCTTTTCGTTTTATATTTTGACATCAGAATGTCTAATTCTAACAGGTACGGATTAGTATACGTTAACTTAACAGGGTTATTGTCTGTACATAATGAAGTTACAACATCAATAGAAGCTTGCACGTGATGAAAAGAAAACAACGGAGACTACAAACCAATAAACTTGAGAGCGGTTGCACGAGAAGAAGATTCTGGAACCCACGAAAGAGAAAGTAGGAATTTCTAAATAAGGGGAAGTAACTCCTGCTCACTAACGTCATCATCTCCCGGTCCTACGAGATAACGCCCGGGAGAGTGATAGTTAATTTCTTAACTGCATGAGATATGCTTTAAATGCACGTTCAGTGGGACAGGGAGACTTCTTTTATTCTGTTGAGTTTATTCCCTGTGTTTAGGGAATAGGGTAGGAGTTGCCTCCCCCCCCCCCCCCCTCCCCCCCCCTGGATTTTTTATAGAAAACATTTTCCCTTGTGAAAGTTAACTTGTACTTGATAATTGTACAAATAACTGCACCCCCCCCCCCCCCCCCCCCCCCCCCCCTCGTGAACTACGGCCTTGGATAGATACGATTAAGCATTGATTAATTATTATTAATCATGTTATATACTGTAATAAGCAATGCTTACTTTAACATACTTGTATGTATTTAACAAAACCTTCATGGCCTAATAGATATGTCTTTCCGTGTTACTTGTACTATATTTGTAAGTTATTAACAATACCTTTAACACTAGATATTCTCAAGATTGTAACAGAGAAAGACATGTTTTATTCATCTCACAATAACATTTTGTTAAAAGTAAGTTTTTATGACCATAGATTCAAATTGCAGTTGGGGAACCGAAGGGACAGCGTGACTTAGTTGTTGATTTATAAATTTAACTTAGAAATTAAACGTCAATTTAAGCCAAGTAACGAGATTTGGTGCCATTCGCCCTTTATGTTCTACACTGTATACATTTGACATTCCGATATACGACCGAAACTATAACGCAACAATGCACAGGATAAACAGTGTAATTACCAAAAGCAATTACCGTGTTCTCATTACGTCTGGCAGCTGCAGGATATAACAGCTGTGTTGTATTTTACTACACAACTCCCGGCCGTGTGATATGTGTACATTTCCGCCGAATCAAAAGGAGTACACTATAAGCCGATGTGGAGGGTTGACGACATGAACTGCTGCCCCGACAACGACGACAGTGATGATGATCCGTGGCACTCCCCGCAGTCAGTGCAGCAAAGTCTGTGAAGTATCATATTTCTTGGCAGAGGGTGAAATATTAGGTGTATAGGGATGCTTGTTTGTCTCGCCATGCGTACAAGAGAACAGCTCGATTCAGACTGTACGGAGTGGATGAGTGAATGTTGATTTAGGCAGTGAGGAGTTGCTGGGTTTATGGTTGTTAAACAACCCTAGTTCCGCGGGATAGAATATGCCCCAGTGGATTGGGTGGTTAGTTTCGATGACTTGGGTGATTGCGTGTACCCCGACGGCGTCTGGTCTGCATATAGCTAGAGTGAATGAGTGAGTTTGGTTTAACGCGCTTTTGAACGGTATACTACAATGCGAATTGCGGCGCCTTAACAAAGAGCGTCCTGACCCCTGATATAGCTGAAATATTGCTGAGTGCGGCGCTAAACTACAACCAATATTATGTGTAATATATGTTGAAATAAGAATGGCATAAGGAATCGGTGGTATATTATACAAATGATAGCATGCTCACTGTGTTTCCTAAATGCCCTTGTACACGCAGGACAGTTACTCGGACGCCACTACAGGGCTGGAGCAGAACCAGACCAGATCTTCACCATCCAGGTGTACGACATCAGAAACACCAATCAGGTCGTCCCGGCAAAGTACGAGTCGTTCCCTATCGACAGGACCTCAAGCTGTACCAGCACCACAGGTCACATCCGGTCCATAGCAGACAGGTATGGGGTACCTCTGGACACCATCTACACAGACCGGAGGGAGACCGAGGCGGTGATTTATGACGACCGTGACCTTCATCTTGTGTTCATTGATGTCAGAGCTCAGGATTACAGAGCTCCTTCGTCCAACTACACAGAACAAGGCTGTGTAGGCATTGGTCCCAAGCGAACTGTTGCTTTCTTGAAGAAACTGATTTGTCAAAGTGAAAATTTTCAAGTTGGTGAAAACGTTGGTTTGTTTTATAGCAAACTACGCTTAGATGATGATGCAGCTATTGGTGCGTGTGTGAAGTTCGGGGATCATTTGCTTTGTGTTGATGAATTGAATTTACAGGTTTCGTGCTTCCATCGTCCGAAGCGGCAAGTTGAGAATAAGTATATACTGAACTGTTTGAATACCGCCAATGTTGGGGAAATTAGGAACAGGTTCAGGGAAACGTTCCAGGAGGACTTTCCGGGACTTCAAACTGGAGCTGAGGGTATCTGGTTTACACAGGGGAAGAATGTCCTCAAAGACAAAGACTTTCTGTTCATCACCACTTCACTTCGGCAACAGTTACAGGATAGAGGGAGGATGGTGGTTCACGTAAAGCCACCAACATGCTTCCCAGTTGTAATCAAACTCCTGGGCTCGAACTCGAAAGAGGCTGTCCACCACGTCCTCGTCGTGCCACCAGACATCACTTCCTCCGAGTTTAGGTGCGAGGCCTCCATTCTGGTTGAACATCCGCCAAACGCCCTTCATTTACTCATAAACAACAGAAAGCTAAGAAAGTCTACGATGATAGAGGAAACTGGGTTTGTTCCGAATTGCACTGTAAGTGTTACAGTTGCTAAGAAGATTGCTGTGAACATATGCATCGATATGGGCATGTCAATTCTGAAGAACGTTCAGGTGAAGTTGTACAAATTAGACACAGTCTCAGATCTGAAGAGGCTTCTCTCTAGACAAATACATGTTAACCCAGCCAACCTCCAGATGTTCTTTGAGGACAAGGAAGTCATCAATGAAAGACAGTTGATGGAGTATCGCATACGAGACGGTGATACGCTGCTTGCTGTGCACTTCCAGGATTCTATCCATCTCATGATTCGCCAACCAGGTATTCCGCCATCTTGTTTGACTGTGGAGAATTTTAGACTATGCAAAGTCAAAAAGGTTAAGACGTTTCTAGCACAGGTTCTGAAGACAAACAGCGAAAATGTGAATATAATTCATATGGGAAGATGCTTAGGAGAGGACGTCAGCCTTGGGGACGCTGGGTTGTTTTCGGAGGACACACTGTTGATTCCAAGGGTCATCCAGGACGATTCCAGAGAAGAAGAGGTGAAAAGGGTCTTCGTTTCCACGTGTGACGGAACAGTGCGAGTCACGATGGCAGTTCTCAGGGCAGGCGTAACATTTTATGGTGAGAGAAAGTGCAAACTTTGATACGATTAGTCAGGTTTTGTGAAAGCTGAACTTTTTTTCATAATTGCCTCATCAACTTTATTCCGAACGTAATGGCCATAGTTTGTAGCATTGTGTGGCAACCAACTGGCCATTTCGTAGAGTTATCATTACAAAGGAAGTGTTGTTTTATGCAAAAGTGAACCATATTTGATCTTTATCACAACGACATTTAAATGAACAAGTCTTGGTCCGATGGGATACGATGACATATAATCAGCCATATTGCAGGTGGTAACCACCAAATCCAATCCTAATTTTACTTGGCTTCTATACGAGAACCACAGGATACTATTCAGCCCTGTGGGGCAGTCGGGTAGCCTATTGGTTAAAGCGTTCGCTCGTCACGCCGAAGACCCGGGTTCGATTCCCGACATGGGTACAATGTGTGAAGCCCATTTCTGGTGTCCATGCCGTGATATTGCTGGAATATTGCTAAAGTCAGCGTAAAAACCATACTCACTCACTCACTCACTCTTCTGTCCTTGTGTTGTGAAAATTATCTTTTGAACTTGTTATTTCAGCACCAGATGGCATCTCAGTCCAACGTATTGAAGAACAGTTATCTACCAGACGCAGCAGAAACTGGTCACAAGGATTGATGCTAGGAAGCATACTGTTGTCCAGGTCATCACCGAGAGGATCTTCCTCTAGCATCCAGTCCTTACAGCAGAGCTTCAGAACACTCTTTGAGGCATCCACCGAGTCTGAATCAAGTCACACCGAGAAGTCACCTTGCATCCAACTCCACAGTAGTCCTGACACGTCAAAGTCCAAAAGGATGCTGAATCGTCCCTCACAGAAACTGACCCTCCCTGGCCACCATTCCGAACCAGACAGCACAGCCTTAAAACGGTTCACCTTGTGCAAGGAGCTTGCACAGGAGGGTGACAAGCTTATGTTCCGAGAGTCGTCCTTGTATGAGGAAGACGTATCTCAAGGTGGCTCCGACAGACGATTCCCGTCTTCGGAGCACACAGTCAACCCCACGTCCCCTGACGTTGACGTATCCGACACTGATACTCCCAGGTTCTTCCGATCACCTAGTCTTCTGTTTCCGCCACAAGGTATGTCACAGCACTAGTCTTTATCTGGAATGTGTATAACACTCATAAAAAGGAAAAGAACGATTTTCTTCATGTTACTACAGCTATGGACCATTTATTTTACGCAAAATCACCCAACCACAGTTTACTTTTTACAAACTATTGCCACAAGGTATGTCACAGCACAAATGTTTATCTATAATATGTATACTACTCAAAAGAAGCTAAAGAACGACTTTTTCATATGACTTTGGTTAATTTGTCTTGTCATTAACCAATTCATTTTTACACAAAATAAAAAATTAAAAAATGTATTACCCGGCCACATATTACAAACTGTTGCAGGAATGAGCGGTGGTTAAATAACACAACACAACACAGCAACAAATAACACAAACTGGTTAAATAGACATAATCAAATTTAACAACGGTTCTTTCGGTTTGCATAAAAAACAAACTCGGATAACTTTTTTTGCCCCTCAGTTTAGTTAAACGGAAGTTGAAATGATTAATAAATCCCGCCTACATTATACTTCAGGATCTAAATTGTCACTATTAAAGTTTCTGTGCCTTAGCTGCAGATCCGGGGTAGAATACGTCTTCAGCAACTCATGCTTGCCGTAAAAAGCAACTATGCCGTAAGAGGCGACTAACAGGATCGGGTGGTCAGGCTTGCTGACTTGGTTGGTGCATGTCACAGTATCCCAGCTACGTGGATCGATGCTGATGATGTCAATCGCTGGATTGTGTGGTCCAGACTCGATTATTTACAGACCGCCGTCATATAGCTGGAATAGTCCTGAGTGGGGCGTTAAACAACAAACAAACAAACTTAGCTGCATGTCGGTACTTTCAATAATAACCCTGCATCTCGCCTTTCCTTCCAGCCATACCAAACTCTATCCTAGAAGGTGTCTCTCTCGAACTAGGTCACACTTGGAAGAGGGTTGCACTAATACTCGGGATGTCTCACTCAGACCTGGAAAACCTGGAATATCGTCACCATGGTAACCTACACGAGCAGGCCCTACAGGCTCTGCTGCTATGGAAACAGCGTGAATCGAAGAAGGCGACCGTAGCTAAACTGAAAGATGCCTTGAAAGAATGTGGTCTGACCCTAGTTGCAGACGCCATCAATGAAAACATCAAATATGAAACAACATGAACTATACAATTGCGACATGCTATGGAATCCTCATCTAAAACGCACACACTTTCATATTGATTAATAATATAAAGTCATCCTGAGTACCGTATTCGAAGTAATAAGCGCCAAGGGCGCGCTCGAAATTAGTAATAGGGGGCTCTTATTAGAATATTACTTTGGTGAAAAAAAACAGAATTGAAAGATAAATTTCGTGGATTATGCTGACAGCCTGAAATGTTTATATACGACATATATATTTTTCCAGAATTTAACTGCCCATAATTAAGGGTGCATATAACACATGAGTGCGTATTATACGCTAATAAATAAGTTTTATGTACATTGATCAATCGGAAGGGGTGCTAAATGAGGTTGTTCACTAGCCAATATATATATAAGCAGATATCGCCGTGGGCGCTTATTAGAGCAGGGCGCTTATTACGTCGAATACGGTACCTTAATAATATATATATATATATATATATATATATATATATATATATATATATATATAGTGACAAATCAACGCCCTAAAGCATGATCAAGGCGTTACGTTATTACCCTTGCCAACGGATCAGTGTGCTCTCGATTTTCATTCTCAGCTCCCTGAGGAGTATACTCTCTGCAACAAACGTAGTGCTACCATAACTGTGAGTGTGGTTTTACGCGGTTATATCAAGCCATGTCAGCTTAACGTGGGATGAAATCCTAAAGTGACACTGGTTTTCCTGGGCTTGACATACCAAGGATCATAACCTGCACGAATCTGGGATTGAACCCCACGGATACTGGCACGACAAAGGGGAGTAACTCTCAGCAACTGTGCCACCCGTACCACCTACCATCTGTTTGAGTCTATGTCAAAATATGGGGCTTACAATCGTAAAGGTGCCATCATTGCTTTGCCTAAGTGGATCCAAGTCATGTGTGCCGCCAGAGGTCGTAGACGTATGTGATATCTTGATTCCCGTACTGTCTTATGCATGTTTTCTTTTGATTAAAACAACATGTACACATTATGATCTTCAATGTTGTTGTGCTCCTACTTGCAGGGGCGGTCGGGCAGCCTAGTGGGATAATAATCATAATAATAATGAGTCAATTTGTATGGCGCCAAACTCCATTCCAGGTCGTGTGCTCATGGCGCTTACATAGTACAAGGGTAACACTTGTCAAAGAGAAATGTTTTAGTCTAGCCTTAATGGCAGATAGGGTCTCTGCAGTTTTTAGGGTTTCTGGGAGTGTATTCCACAGCATTGGTGCTTGACAGGAGAATGATCTGAAGCCATGTCCCTTTAATCTCCATCTTCGAACACTACACAAAAGCTGGGATTGTGATATTGCGGGAATATTGTTAAAAGCGGCGTAAAACCATAGTCACTCACTCACTTCTACTTGCGTCATCACGGGGCATGTGGTGCATCATGTCAGTGGAATAGGTTGGTTTCACGTCTCTTCAGTCATATCACTGCGTGTCAGCTAAAGTAACAGGTCATGGGGTTCGGTGAAAGCTACAACTACGTGTATGGTGCTGAGAAACCAGGGATCGTAATGGGACTGTGTGCACAACGAGATCCCGGCAGCCAAGGACCCGTGAAGATTCCTGGGTAGAATAGGTCTTCAGCAACCAATGCTTGTCGTAAAAGGTGACTGTGATTGTCGTAAAAGGCCACTAACGGGATCGGGTGGTCAGGCTCGCTGACTTGGTTGATGCATGTCATCGATCCCAATTGCGTGGATCGATGCTCATGATATTAATGACTGGATTGTCTGATCCAGACTCGATAATTTACAGACCGCCGTCATATCGCTGGAATATTGCTGAGTGCGGCGTTAAACAACAAACCAACCAACCAACCCTGGAGCCAAGGGACGTAGCTCTGCACAGCATGTGGACTGACATGGGACTTGTTCATACGCATCTTGGTGCTGTGGTTTGCTGGTTCCCTTGTTGTAACTGTATTAGCCGATACACCTACTTTTACTTTCGAGAGTAGCTTGTAATGCACCTTTACCTTTCTCCTCTTGCCACGTTATAATTTCCCTATATGATTTCTCAAAATTCCTGGTAAATTAAAATCAAACGATGATTGATGTGTGATCTTAATTAATACCAACTCTGAACCTCATGATTGTCAAGGCACGGACATTACATCTCTGCCACTGGGTCAGAGTGATGGATGAAACCTTTAAAAAAGGATTTTTTGTGCGAATATTTTATGTTCGTTTCAAGTACTCACTTCAGTTTCACATAAAATAACCATTTCCAAGTTTGCTCACCAGGAATGGAGTTATGCCCACACTTCCCTTGGTGTATCTGCCAACAGTTTTGTTCTTGGTAGAGGCCTATAAAATTGTAGGTGTATTGGCCCATACACCTTGATCAATAACTCTTACATATACACAACAGTCCCATGTCCATATACTGGATACTGGGCAGTGTGTTGTCTGGTGCATGTAGCCTATCTGGCAAAGACCCAGTACAATTTCACACATGGATAAGGTCAAACCGATCTTAGTGTCTCCATACTGGCAATATTGATAAAAGCAACATAATACTAACTCACACAGAGGTTAGAATTGGTCTTCAGCAGTCCATGCTTGTCTTTATTAAGAGGGGACTGACAGGATCGAGAGGTCAGGCTCGCTGACTTGGTTGATGCATGTCATCATATCCCAGTTGTGTAGATGGACGGTCATGATGTCAGTCACTTGATTGTCTGGTCTAAACTGGAATAATTACTTACAGTCCGTCGGCTTTTAGCTGAAATACTGCTGAGTCTGGCATTAAACAACAAAAAACAAAACTGCCTTCTCCTACTTCAACTTTATCAACAAATGAGTAAGTAAGTGAGTGAATATGGTCTTACGCCGCTTTTAGCAATATCACGGTCGGAAATCACCAAGCCAGAATCATCAACAAGCTGTGTACAAAACCCATTATATCAATAAGCATAACAGACAAAAAAATAAGTATGTTGTATGTTAAAGTTTAAACACAAAAGTAATTGGTTAAAACAATAATGTCTTTATTCAAAAGGCTTTCATCAAGCATCCATGATCCTCCAGAAACACAACAAAAAAAGATAACAGTTATAAATATACTGATGCTAAAAAATAAGAGTTATGTTTACAAGTGTGTTCAATCAATCTGCCTTACATGAACAATCAGGTGAAAGTACAACACAGTATTTAGTAGTGGTGATCGTTGACAGCATGGGTCATTCAGATTTTTTTTGGAAAACTGTCAGTGGTCAATATATATATATATATAAAAATCTGACCCTTTAATCTATTATTATTTGTATACAGTAAACAACGTTTATAACAAACTGACTGATATAACAAACTTATTTCTAAGTCCTGGCCATTTGCTGTATATATGTTTATGAAGAACTACGGTTATTGCAAACTAAAATTAGTGGTCGTTGTAAACGTAGTTTACTGTATTTGTGTATTTTTATTTTTTTTATATCAACAAATATATTTACTGTGCACTAAACAATGTCAAAACTATCACTTCCACAGTCAGATTCGCTTGTTGTTTAACGCCAAACTCAGCAATATTCCAGCTGTATGACAGCGGTTTGTAAATAATCAAGTCTGGACCAGACAATCCAGTGATTGACATCATGACAATTTGGATACGATGACATGCATCAACCAAGTCAGTGAGCCTGACCACCCGATCCCGTTAGTGGCCTTATACGACAAGAATAGTCGCCTTTTACTGCAAGCATGGGTTGCTGAAGACCTATTCTCTACCCGGATCTTCACGGGTCTCATGTATATGGTCTCTGTTGTAATGCACCAAGTGTTTTAGTGTCTACTGTTACACCTCTAGTATGTAGGTATTGCTGGTATAAATGTTTGAAATGAAACCAGTGCTTCTCGTGGTCTCAACAACTTGGCTATCTGACACCCAATTGAAAATAACTTGAAGATATTACAAGAAATAAGTGAGTAAGTTTGCCCTAACACCACTTGAAACAGTATTTATGGTGAAATTCAAAAACATGTCAATGGTGCTGAAAAATGTAATGAGGGCAAATATGTTATTGGGACCCACGATCATAGGGTTGTCGTGCCCAAGGGACACAACTCTGCACAGGACAAATGAACCACTGATCAAGAATCAAGACAAATACGACCCCTGGCACATGTTATCAACACAACCAAGAAACATTAAAGTAGAGTATAATGAGCATATACTGTACAACAGCTTTCACCTCTGTCTCTGTCAACGGTATATCACAATCAAGACACAGTCAGTATCAGGTGATGATATCAACATTTCCCAGGATCTAACATGATATCATTTGGATCTGTTTGGTGTTGCATGATAGCAACATTTCCCAGGATCTAACATGATATCATTTGGATCTGTTTGGTGTTGCATGATAGCAACATTTCCCAGGATCTAACATGATATCATTTGGATCTGTTTGGTGTTACATGATAGCAACATTTCCCAGGATCTAACATGATATCATTTGGATCTGTTTGGTGTTACATGATAGCAACATTTCCCAGGATCTAACATGATATCATTTGGATCTGTTTGGTGTTGCATGATAGCAACATTTCCCAGGATCTAACGTGATATCATTTGGATCTGTTTGGTGTTACATGATAGCAACATTTCCCAGGATCTAACATGATATCATTTGGATCTGTTTGGTGTTACATGATAATATCTATATCTGCCAGCCCTTGAACAGTAATTGCAATATGATGTATCATGATATCCTGTACAGGATTTATGATATCAGTATCTACATCCACATGGATATCATCTGGATATGGTCATATGCTCAACTTGCAAACAGATATCACTAAAAGAGTGACATAAAGGTGTACTGATTGGCCCATCATTAATAGCATCCAACAAGCAAATGATATCACTGGGGATCCACTTTGACAATATGAACTATTCCTGAGGTCAAAGATGTGGTGTAACCATGGCAAATGTAGATCAGTTCAGTGGTGCTTCAGAGATCCAGACTCGTCATGCAGGGTCTGAGAGATGGTGATGTAACCATGGTAACTATAGATCAGTTCAGCGGTGCTTCAGAGATCCAGACTCGTCATGCAGGGTCTGAGAGATGGTGATGTAACCATGGTAACTGTAGATCAGTTCAGTGGTGCTTCATACATCCAGGCCCACCATGTTAGTTCTGACAAATACTGATTAAACCAGGGTAACAATACATCAGTTCAGTAGTGCTTCATAGATCCAGGTCCAGTATGCAGGGTCTGAAAGATGGTGATGTAACCATGGCAACAAGCAGGATCTGGTGTCTTGAGATATCACAGTGCTGCAGACAAGTCTGAAATCTACACATCATGGTCGGATCTTGTAGAAGGCATCATATTCCTTTTCCCGTCTTGCAAATGTTTCTGCCACCATCAGTGGGAACACAAGACTTGCCTCAGCACACACCTGGGGAATAAACAACATAATTCAACATCTCTATGAGTGGGAACACTAGACTTGCCTCAGCACACACCTGGGGTATAAACAACATAATTCAACCCCTCTATTAGTGGGAACACTAGACTTGCCTCAGCACACACCTGGGGAATAAACAACATAATTCAACCCCTCTATTAGTGGGAACACTAGACTTGCCTCAGCACACACCTGGGGAATACACAACATAATTCAACCCCTCTATTAGTGGGAACACTAGACTTGCGGAGCATCTCACCCTGATCAGCTGGGGCACCTCACCCTGATCAGCTGGGGCACCTCACCCTTATCCATCACCCTATGGACAGAGCTAGGGCACCTCACCCTGATCCGTCACCTCGCCCTGATAAGCTGGGACATCTCACCCTGGTCAGTCACCCTATGGACAGAGCTGGAACATCTCACCCTGATCCGACACCCTATGGACAGAGCTGGGGCACCTCACCCTCATGAGCTGGGACACCTCACCCTGGTCAGTCATCCTATGTACAGAGCTGGGACACCTCATCCTAATGAGCTGGGACACCACACCCTGGTCAGCTGGGACATCTCACCCTGATCAGTCACCCTATGTACCGAGCTGATCCGTCACCCTATGTACCGAGCTGGGACACCTCGCCCTGATCAGCTGGGACACCTCACCCTGGTCAGTCACCCTATGGACAGAGCTGGGACACATCACCCTGGTCAGTCACCCTATGTACAGAGCTGGGACAGCTCACCCTGGTCAGTCACCCTATGTACAGAGCTGGGACACCTCACCCTGGTCAGTCACCCTATGTACAGAGCTGGGACAGCTCACCCTGGTCAGTCACCCTATGTACAGAGCTGGGACAGCTCACCCTGGTCAGTCACCCTATGTACAGAGCTGGGACAGCTCACCCTGGTCAGTCACCCTATGTACAGAGCTGGGACACATCACCCTGGTCAGTCACCCTATGGACAGAGCTGGGACACCTCACCCTGGTCAGTCACCCTATGGACAGAGCTGGGACACCTCACCCTGGTCAGTCACCCTATGGACAGAGCTGGGACACCTCACCCTGGTCAGTCACCCTATGGACAGAGCTGGGACACATCACCCTGGTCAGTCACCCTATGGACAGAGCTGGGACACATCACCCTGGTCAGTCACCCTATGTACAGAGCTGGGACACATCACCCTGGTCAGTCACCCTATGGACAGAGCTGGGACACATCATCCTGGTCAGTCACCCTATGGACAGAGCTGGGACAGCTCACCCTGGTCAGTCACCCTATGGACAGAGCTGGGACACATCACCCTGGTCAGTCACCCTATGTACAGAGCTGGGACAGCTCACCCTGGTCAGTCACCCTATGTACAGAGCTGGGACACCTCACCCTGGTCAGTCACCCTATGTACAGAGCTGGGACAGCTCACCCTGGTCAGTCACCCTATGGACAGAGCTGGGACACATCACCCTGGTCAGTCACCCTATGTACAGAGCTGGGACAGCTCACCCTGGTCAGTCACCCTATGGACAGAGCTGGGACAGCTCACCCTGGTCAGTCACCCTATGTACAGAGCTGGGACAGCTCACCCTGGTCAGTCACCCTATGTACAGAGCTGGGACACATCACCCTGGTCAGTCACCCTATGTACAGAGCTGGGACACATCACCCTGGTCAGTCACCCTATGGACAGAGCTGGGACACCTCACCCTGGTCAGTCACCCTATGGACAGAGCTGGGACAGCTCACCCTGGTCAGTCACCCTATGTACAGAGCTGGGACAGCTCACCCTGGTCAGTCACCCTATGGACAGAGCTGGGACACCTCACCCTGGTCAGTCACACCATGGACAGAGCTGGGACACATCACCCTGGTCAGTCACCCTATGAACAGAGCTGGGACACATCACCCTGGTCAGTCACCCTATGTACAGAGCTGGGACACATCACCTTGATCAGCTGGGACACCTCACCCTGGTCAGTCACCCTATGTACAGAGCTGGGACACATCACCCTGGGCAGTCACCCTATGGACAGAGCTGGGACACTTCACCCTGGTCAGTCACCCTATGTACAGAGCTGGGACACCTCACCCTGGTCAGTCACCCTATATACAGAGCTGGGACACATCACCCTGGTCAGTCACCCTATGTAAAGAGCTTGGACACATCACCTTGATCAGCTGGGACACCTCACCCTGGTCAGTCACCCTATGTAAAGAGCTTGGACACATCACCTTGATCAACTGGGACACCTCACCCTGGTCAGTCACCCTATGGACAGAGCTGGGACACCTCACCCTGGTCAGTCACCCTATGTACAGAGCAGGGACACATCACCCTGGTCAGTCACCCTATGGACAGAGCTGGGACACCTCACCCTGGTCAGTCACCCTATGTACAGAGCTGGGACACACCACCTTGATCAGCTGGGACACCTCACCCTGGTCAGTCACCCTATGGACAGAGCTGGGACAACTCACCCTGGTCAGTCACCCTATGTACAGAGCTGGGACACCTCACCCTGGTCAGTCACCCTATGTAAAGAGCTTGGACACATCACCTTGATCAGCTTGGACACCTCACCCTGGTCAGTCACCCTATGGACAGAGCTGGGACACATCACCCTGGTCAGTCACCCTATGTAAAGAGCTTGGACACATCACCTTGATCAGCTGGGACACCTCACCCTGGTCAGTCACCCTATGTAAAGAGCTTGGACACATCACCTTGATCAGCTGGGACACCTCACCCTGGTCAGTCACCCTATGGACAGAGCTGGGACACCTCACCCTAATCAGTCACCCTATGTACAGAGCAGGGACACATCACCCTGGTCAGTCACCCTATGGACAGAGCTGGGACACCTCACCCTGGTCAGTCACCCTATGTACAGAGCTGGGACACATCACCTTGATCAGCTGGGACACCTCACCCTGGTCAGTCACCCTATGTAAAGAGCTTGGACACATCACCCTGGTCAGTCACCCTATGGACAGAGCTGGGACACCTCACCCTGGTCAGTCACCCTATGTACAGAGCTGGGACACCTCACCCTGGTCAGTCACCCTATGTACAGAGCAGGGACACATCACCTTGATCAGCTTGGACACCTCACCCTGGTCAGTCACCCTATGTAAAGAGCTTGGACACATCACCTTGATCAGCTGGGACACCTCACCCTGGTCAGTCACCCTATGGACAGAGCTGGGACACATCACCCTGGTCAGTCACCCTATGTAAAGAGCTTGGACACATCACCTTGATCAGCTGGGACAGCTCACCCTGGTCAGTCACCCTATGTACAGAGCTGGGACAGCTCACCCTGGTCAGTCACCCTATGTACAGAGCTGGGACAGCTCACCCTGGTCAGTCACCCTATGTACAGAGCTGGGACACATCACCCTGGTCAGTCACCCTATGGACAGAGCTGGGACACCTCACCCTGGTCAGTCACCCTATGGACAGAGCTGGGACACCTCACCCTGGTCAGTCACCCTATGGACAGAGCTGGGACACCTCACCCTGGTCAGTCACCCTATGGACAGAGCTGGGACACATCACCCTGGTCAGTCACCCTATGGACAGAGCTGGGACACATCACCCTGGTCAGTCACCCTATGTACAGAGCTGGGACACATCACCCTGGTCAGTCACCCTATGGACAGAGCTGGGACACATCATCCTGGTCAGTCACCCTATGGACAGAGCTGGGACAGCTCACCCTGGTCAGTCACCCTATGGACAGAGCTGGGACACATCACCCTGGTCAGTCACCCTATGGACAGAGCTGGGACAGCTCACCCTGGTCAGTCACCCTATGTACAGAGCTGGGACACCTCACCCTGGTCAGTCACCCTATGTACAGAGCTGGGACAGCTCACCCTGGTCAGTCACCCTATGGACAGAGCTGGGACACATCACCCTGGTCAGTCACCCTATGTACAGAGCTGGGACAGCTCACCCTGGTCAGTCACCCTATGGACAGAGCTGGGACAGCTCACCCTGGTCAGTCACCCTATGTACAGAGCTGGGACAGCTCACCCTGGTCAGTCACCCTATGTACAGAGCTGGGACACATCACCCTGGTCAGTCACCCTATGGACAGAGCTGGGACACCTCACCCTGGTCAGTCACCCTATGTACAGAGCTGGGACAGCTCACCCTGGTCAGTCACCCTATGTACAGAGCTGGGACAGCTCACCCTGGTCAGTCACCCTATGTACAGAGCTGGGACACCTCACCCTGGTCAGTCACCCTATGTACAGAGCAGGGACACATCACCTTGATCAGCTTGGACACCTCACCCTGGTCAGTCACCCTATGTAAAGAGCTTGGACACATCACCTTGATCAGCTGGGACACCTCACCCTGGTCAGTCACCCTATGGACAGAGCTGGGACACATCACCCTGGTCAGTCACCCTATGTAAAGAGCTTGGACACATCACCTTGATCAGCTGGGACACCTCACCCTGGTCAGTCACCCTATGTACAGAGCTGGGACAGCTCACCCTGGTCAGTCACCCTATGTACAGAGCTGGGACAGCTCACCCTGGTCAGTCACCCTATGTACAGAGCTGGGACACATCACCCTGGTCAGTCACCCTATGGACAGAGCTGGGACACCTCACCCTGGTCAGTCACCCTATGGACAGAGCTGGGACACCTCACCCTGGTCAGTCACCCTATGGACAGAGCTGGGACACCTCACCCTGGTCAGTCACCCTATGGACAGAGCTGGGACACATCACCCTGGTCAGTCACCCTATGGACAGAGCTGGGACACATCACCCTGATCAGTCACCCTATGTACAGAGCTGGGACACATCACCCTGGTCAGTCACCCTATGGACAGAGCTGGGACACATCATCCTGGTCAGTCACCCTATGGACAGAGCTGGGACAGCTCACCCTGGTCAGTCACCCTATGGACAGAGCTGGGACACATCACCCTGGTCAGTCACCCTATGTACAGAGCTGGGACAGCTCACCCTGGT